CTGCAACTGAGGTACGTGCCCTTGACTGGGAATAAACCCGAGATCCTTCGGTCCGGGGGCAGGAGCTCTAACCACTGGGCAAAATTGCCAGTGCAAAATTTGCATTTTCATAATGACTAATGATGCTGGACACCTTTACATGTATGTGCTTATCTGCCATCCATATATCATCTCTGGTGAGATGCTTGCTCAAATTTTTTGTCCATTTAAAAAATGGATTGAGCCGAAGCTGGTTTGGCTCAGTGGTAGAGCGTCGGTCTGCGGACTGAAAGGTCCCAGGTTCGATTCTGGTCAAGGGCATGTACATTGGTTGTGGGCACATCCCCGGTAGGGGGTGTGCAAGGGGCAGCTGGTCGATGTTTCTCTCTCATCGATGTTTCTAGCTCTCTCTCTCTCTCTCCCTTCCTCTCTGTAAAAAATCAATAAAATATATATTTTTAAAAAATAAAAAAATAAAAATAAAAAATGGATTGTTTGCTTATTTTTATCATTGAATTTATAGAATTACTAGAGGCCCGGTGCACAAAATTTGTGCACTGGGAGGGGGGAGTTCCTCAGCCAGGCCTGCACCTTCTTGCAGTCCAGGAGCTCTTTGGGGATGTCCGACTACCACTGCTGCACTTGCCATTCGTGAACCCAGCTTCTGACTGAGCAGCACTCCCCTGTATGAGCACACTGACCACCAGGGGGCAGCTCCTGCACTGAGCGTCTGCTCCCTGTTGGTTGGTCAGTCCGCATCATAGCAACCGGTCATTCTGATTGATTTGCATATTAGCCTTTTATTATGTAGGATTTGCAAATGTTTTCCTTTTTGCTATAGAGAACATTACTGAGACAACTGGTAAAACTTAATGAGGTTTTAGGATTGTAATGTGTTAAGGTTAATTTGATTTTGATTGTAATACTGCTGTTGTAGGAGAATATTCTTGTTTATATAATAGGAAATATACACTTTAAAGTATCTGGGGGTGATGTGGCCTCAGGTTGATAATTTCTCTCCAGTAGTTTTTGTATCATAGTTGCAGTTTTTTGTAAAGTCGACATTGTTTCAAATTTTAAAATTATTATTTTTTTAATTTTATTATTTTTTTAAATATATTTTATTGATTTTGTACAGAGAGGAAGGGAGAGAGAGAGTTAGAAATATTGATGAGAGAGAGTCATCGATCAGCTGCCTCTTGCACACCCCCTACTGGGAATATGTCCGCAACCAAAGTACATGCCCTTGACCAGAATCGAACCCGGGACCTTTCAGTCCCCAAGCCGACGCTCTATCCATTGAGCCAAACTGGTCCCAGCAAATTTTTAAATTATTTTTAAAACTAACCTAACTATATGTTCCTTTCTGTTTTTAAAAACTGTACGGTCACCCTGATGCAGCTGGCACCAAGCCCTGTGTCCACTAAAGGCCAGATGGCCAGTCACACTGATCAAGCCTTCCTCTCCAAGTGGAAGGAAAGAGGGAGAAAAGGCTGTTGAATTCTTCACTTGCAGCTCTGAGCAATATCCAATCTTATATCTAGATATCAGTTTACTTCAAATTACCAGCATGAAATTAAAAACACAAAGCTTAGCCCAGAAATTTCTTCTTATTATTATTTTTATTTATTTATTTTAATAAATTTTTATTGTTCATATTATTACAAATGTTCCTTTCCCCCCCTCCTCCATTGCTCTCCTTCACCAGGTTCCCATCCCACCCTCTGCCCTTTCCCACTCCCCATTGTCCTCATCCATAGGTGCACAGTTTATGTTCAGTCTCTTCCCACATCCCTCTCTCCCCTTTTCCCCAAGAATTGTCAGTTCACTCCCCTTCCATACCTCTGATTCTATTATATTCACCAGTTAATATTGTTCATCAGATTTTTTTTTAATTTCCTTGGTTTTTAGATTCACTTGTTGATAGTTACGTATTTGTTGTTTATAATTTTTATCTTTATTTACTTTCTCTTCCAAAATAACCCCCTTCAGCAATTCATATAATTCTGGTTTGGTGGTGATGAACTCCTTTAGCTTTTTTTAATTTTATTTTATTGATTTTGTACAGAGAGAAAGGGAGAGAGACAGTGAGTTAGAAACATCGATGAGAAAGAGTCATCCATAAGCTGCCTCTTGCACACCCCCTACTGGGGATGTGCCGCAACCAAGGTACATGCCCTTGACCAGAATCAAACCCGGGACCCTTCAGTCCCCAAGCCGACGCTCTATCCACTGAGCCAAACCGGTCTCGGCTAGCTTTTCTTTTCTTTTTTTATTTTCTTTTTTTATTAGTGAAGCTCTTTATCTGGCCTTCGATTCTGAGTGATAGCTTTGTTGGGCAGATTATTTTTGGCTGTAGGTTCTTACTATTCATCACCTTGAATATTTCTTGCCATTCCCATCTGGCCTGCATGGTTTCTGTTGAGAAATCAGCTGACAATCGTATAGGTGCTCCTTTATAGGTAACTACCTGCTTTGCTCTTGCTGCTTTTAATATTCTCTCTTTGTCCTTTGCTCTTGGAATCTTAATTATGATTTGTCTTGGCGTGGTCCTCTTTGGATTCCTTTTGTTTGGAGTTCTGTGTGCTTCCTGGACTTGTAAGTCTAATTCTTTCACCAGGTGGGGGAAGTTTTCTGTCACTATTTCTTTCAGTATGTTTTTGATATCTTGCTCTCTCTCATCTTCTGGGACCCCCATAATTCTGATGTTGGTTCTCTTGAAGTTGTCCCAGAGGTTTCTTACATTATCTTCAATTTTCTGGATTCTCTTGTCTTCTTGCTTCTGCAGAGAAGTGTCTTCTGGCTTTTTATGTTCCAAATCTTTGACTTGATTCTTGCGATCTTCTATTCTGTTTTTAGGACTCTGTATAATATTTTTTATTTTAGACAATGTATTCTTTATTTCTTGTTGATCCCTTATCATTTCTCGTTGATTCCTTATTAATTCTAGTTGATCCCTTTTCATATCCTCATAGGTCTTATCGACCTTTTCTAGGAAATTCTTGAAAAACCTTATAAGCGTAGATCTGAACTCTATATCCAGACACTTTTTGTCCTCCATTTTTTTCGTTTGTGATCTATTTCGTTGTCGCATTTCCGCAGCTTCCCTGATGGGGAGGAGTTTCAGGGTGGAGCCTACAGCTTTGGCTTCCGTCAGCCCCGCCTTATGCGGCTCCTGAGTCTCAGGGTCCTTCAGTACTCGCTGCAAGCGCCTCTGAGAGAAAGGTGCCCTCAATTTTCACCTGCTACCAAACAGTCTATGCTCTCCCCCAATGAGCTCGGCACTGGGGTTCAGTTCAGTTGGAAGTGGGATTGGAGGTGGCATTCAGAGCAGTCTGGAGCCCCTGTCTCCTTCCCGCCAGGGCAATCCCGCAGCACAGCCAACTGTCCCTTCTCTGTGCGCAATGTGCGTGCCTCTGGGACCTCCTTTCGCCACTCCCCCGGGGTTCTGCCTTACAGCCCAGCTCCCTCTGTATGAGCCTGGGTCCCCGGGGACTGGCCTAGAACTGGAGTTCAGAGCAGTCGGAACTGGGGCCCAGTACAGTCGGAGCTTTTATCTCTTTCCGGCTAGGGAACGCCAGCCATTAGCCCAGAAATTTCATTCCTTAGTATATACCCAATGAAATAGGATGAATTCAAATTCTAAGCAAGGTTACAGGCAGAACTTCCTTTTTTTAATTAAAGAGCCAGCCCTATGTGCACTTAGTGATTATCTCGATGCTGGCCTTGAAAAACAATGCTGTTCTATCCAATTGAGAAGGTGCAAACTGGCATGGTATTGAGATTGTGGGCATATCTGGTCTCTGGCATACAAGGACAGACAGCTAAGTTTATCTTCATCATTCTTCAAACGGGCTAAAGCAAACTAGAAAGCAACATTTTATCTAGGAAGAATAGCAGAAAATTCCAAACAACAGTGTTGCAAAATAGGGGTTTTTCCTTCTCAGAACCTTTAAAAATAACTACCTGCCTCTAAAGCCTTGCAATAGCAGTCGTTTGGAGTCCACCTGCGGGTGGTGCTCTTGCGGCTGTCCTGGCCATATATTTCAATAAATCTTTGCCTGCTTTTAAAAAAATAAATCATCAGCCTCCAGTGGTCTTATTTTGAACCCAGGGTTCGACCCAAGAGTTGAAAACATATGCGCATAAAAATGTGTACAGGAATGCTCATAACATTACCCACAATAGCCCAAAAAAGTGGAAACAAACCAAACTGCCATGAATTGACAGAAATGTGGTATGCCCATATAATAATTATTCAGTCATAAAAGAGAATGAAAGACACCAGACCCAAATGGCTCCTTAGTCCATCTACAGAAAATGTCCAGAGTAGACAGGGCAAAAGAAACAGAAAGTACACTAGCGGTTGCCAGGAGTTAGGGGTGGAAAATGGGAAATGACTGTGGAATCGAGGTTCCTTTTTGGGTGATGAAAATGTTCTGGAATTAGTGGCGATGGTTGCAAAACTCCGCGAATAAACGAAAAACCAATGAATTATATGTACTTTTAAAGAGCGAATTTTATTGGGGTCTCTCAGTAAACAGCAAAGCTTGGGTTTGAAGGGCGGAAAATACAGCCTTGCGGATCCTTCCTCCTTCCCCGCCCCCTTCATGTCTAAACTATAATGGGCCATATATTGTACAATCCTCTTAGGGCCTCTGGGCTTTTCCGCCCACAGGTCACCGGGGACTGCCGAGCTGACCACACCCCCGACAAACCCACGCCGCGGACCACTCGCAAGGTGAGTGGCAGAGGCGCCCCACTCCGTGGAACCAGGCAGTTACCAGGCAACAGAGGAGGCCCGCCCCCTAACCTACCCAATTAGGCACGTCTGCCCACAACGCGAGAGCCCCGCGGGGCGTGGTCTCACGCACCCCAGGCCCCTGAGAGCTCAGGGCTGGCAGCATCCTCCCGCCCCCTCCGCTCCGCCTGGCCAATCGGAAGGGAGAAGGATGCGCGTTCCGTGCGTGCGACCGTCACCCCGCGGCGGAGCTCCCTCACCCCACCCCCACCCCCTGGGCCCTGCCCTCCAGCAGCGGGGCCCGGGGGCCTGACGGGCCGGCGGAGGAGGGCAGCTTCTCTCCAGGCACCTGGGCGGGCGGCCTCCCTAAGCCTCCCCTTCGGCAGGCCCCGGGGGAGCAGACAGTTCCGAGGAAAGCACCCGCTCTTAATGGCGGCGGAGGCGGGGTACGCACCTGAGGTCCCCGGCAGCGGGCAGGGGCCGGCGGGCGGCGGCGTCCGAGGGCTCGGCCACCGAGGGGCGGCCAGAGGCCGAGGGCGGCCGCCGGAAGGGCGAAGAGGTGGGGGCGCGGCGTGTGGGCGGCGGCCGAGGGCCTGTGCTCCACTATCCCTCCTTTTTCTCTTTCTTCCTTTTTTTTTTTTTTTTTTTTTTTTTTTTTGGCTTCCTGGAAGGCAGCCGCAACTCTGTCTGCCGAGCCCCAAGTGGGAGTTGCCGTTTCCGGTGCTGCCGAATCCAGTCCTGCTGCACACTCAGTTAGTTCCGGCAGGGGTGGGGAACCTTTTTTTCCTGCCAAGGGCCATTTGGATATTTATAACATCATCCCCTTGACATACAAAATGATCAACTTAGCCTGCTATATTTGGCCAGACATTTCATTAACTCACCCCTAATGCCTTGGCAGGGCCGGGCCAAATGATTCTGTGGGCCTTTTATGGCGTGTGGGCCAGACGTTCCCCACCCTGATTGGAGGCTCCTGTTCAGCGGAAGGCCAGACATGCTCTCCATCCCCAGCCTCTGGAGTGAGTGGCAGGCACATGTCTGGTCTCATCCCTGGAAACCGCCCCCTAGACGTGAAGGGTACTTGCTTGCTGTAATTGAATGCGTGAGCATGATTGCAATGTGTAGTTTTTTGGAGGGGTGAGGCCACAACTCCACTGACGGGTGAATCCGCCTGAAAGCCATCCAGTTGTTGGTTACAAACTGTATCAGCGTGTCCTGACCTTCCCATGTGGTCAGTGACATAAGCCGACTAATCAGCTGCCCATCAGCTGATGGGGGCCACTTTAGCAAAGAGTCAAATATTACAATAGTGTTACTTAATATGATTTAAGTTATAGTTACATTTTAAATATTCCCAAAAGAATAGGTTGTCAGTCATTTACCCATTGCTCCAGTTTAAGATAATATGCCTTATTTCTGTTTTAGAGAAACATTAGACACAAATGAAGGCAACAGTCTTATTCCTCCGTCTTTCCTTGACCAGAGATAACTGCTGTCTTAAAGTTAATGTGTTCTAATATTATATATATATTTCCTTTTGCAAAAAGTGTCTCAAATATGCTCACATTTTTCAAGTGCCTGTCAAAAATATGTCCTAGCAGATAGTTGTTTTTTTTTTAATGGTATTTAGAGTAAAGATAATTCAAGAATTAGTGGAGTAAGTACCTGCCTTTTTGACATCATTTAAAAATATGTTTGAAATATTTCGGTAGAGTTATGTTCTTTTAGGTCATAGCAAACGCTGACTTAGCAAGTTGGAACCACTGCTCCCAGGGGTTAGGTTTTGGGCAGACTCTGGTTATTACATTTTTGTTACCCCCATCAATACATAATCTTGCTTTATGTATGTTATCTGTTTAAAGATAACTTATTTACTATATATTGTTTGATTCATTAGTTGAACTCATGACCAACAGCATTGTAACTCATGCCTACAGAAGCTTATCTAGCAAGTGTTTCCCACATAAGGCACATTGTAGCCTTCTTGTGCTTAGGAACACTAGACAACACCTCAGTACTACACGGGAGGGGCATAGTGGTAAGATAATTCAAGAATTAGTGGAGTAAGTACCTGCCTTTTTGACATCATTTAAAAAGATGTTTGAAAATATTTCGGTTAGAGTTGGTTCTCCTTATTCAGTAGAGTAAGGAGAATCAACTCAGTTTGGCTCAGTGGATAGAGCATCAGCCTGCGGATTGAAGGTTCCCGGGTTCAATTCCAGTCAAGGGCACTTGACTGGCTTGTGGGTTTGATCCCCAGTGTGGGGTGCAGGAAGCAGCTGATCCATGATTCTTATCATTGGTGTTTCTCTCCCTCTCCCTTTCTCTCTGAAATCAATACAAATATGTATTTTGTTAAAAAAACAAACAAAAAAAAACATGCCTCACCCTCTCATCAGTTCCTCCTGCAGTCTTTCTTCCCTTTCTCAGCAAAACTCCATTCTGCCAGTTGCTCAGGACAGAATCCTTAAGAAGCATCCTTGATTTTTCCCATACACTAATCCTTTAGACCAGTGTTTCCCAACCTTCTCTCATGATGAGAATCACCTGGTGGAGTTGTTAAAACACAGATTCCCGGATCCCAACTAAGAAGTGCTAAACTAGAATTTTTGAGAACATATAGGTAAAATTGCATACCTAACTTAGTGCTCTTTATATAAAATCTGTCTTAGAGCACTAGTTAAGTATACAATTTTACCTATATGTTCCCAAAAATTCTAGTTTAGCACTTCTTAGTTGGGATCCGGGAATCTGTGTTTTAACAACTCCACCAGGTGATTCTCATCATGAGAGAAGGTTGGGAAACACTGACAACCCAGTCAGCTCAAACTTGACTAAGATTCTACCACTTTCTGATTGATGACCACTACCACTACACTGGTCCAAGCCAATATAGCCTCTAGCAATTAACTAATAATTTCTCTCCCTGATTCTGCCCTTAACTCTTTCAGATTACTCTTAACACAACATCCAGAAGAATTTTGTAACTAGTAACTCATGTCACAACTTTGCTGAAAGTTGTCCAGTAACTCTTATCTCAGAGTAAGGGTACAGGTCCTGACTTCTGCTTCTGGCCAAGATGAAGTAACAAGCAAGGATTAAAGTTATCCACTTGCCTGAAGCAACTAAAAAACAAACAAGCAAAATACATGATAAGGGAAAATTATGAGCAAGTTTTTAGCACTAAATTTGCTCATGTAAGTGAAATGGACAAACTCCATGATAGACAGAAATTACCAAAGCTCACTCAAGACAGTAGATAACTTGATTAGCCCTATATCTATTAAAGAAATTGAAATTTAATTTAAAACCTTTCCACCTAGGAATTACAGGTCCAGATGGCTTCCCTGGTTTTTTAACAAACATTTTAGGTAAAAAGAAATCTTCTCAAAAGGTGAAGGGTAGGAAATACTTTCTAACTCATTCTATGAAGGCAGCATTAAGTAAAGCGCAGGCCAGTATCTCTCATGACCATAAATGCAAAACTCTCAATACAGTAGGTCCTTGGGTTACGTTGGAAATCCGTTCCTATAGCACGACATAACTTGATTTCCACCATAAGTCGGAACCCACCTACATAAGCACCTACGTCACTCACATGGACACATACACAGCAGTAATGAAGTGAAACAGTAAAAAAATTTAAAAGAACAATTCCTGACCTTTACTTGTAAATACTAAATAATAAAAAACATAAAGCACATTTGTACATATGTCAAAATGATGGAACTTTTTTTAAATAAATAAACTAGTGGCCTGATGCACGAAATTCATGCACATTAAAAGGATTAATTAGAAGAAATATTTTAATATTGCTATTTGCTCTTTCTCTATAATAGAAGTGTCAGAGATGAGAGAAAATTAGTAAAATCACCGAAACCGGTTTGGCTCAGTGGATAGAACATTGGCCTGCAGACTGAAAGGTCCCAGGTTCGATTCCCGTCAAGGGCATGCACCTTGGTTGCAGGCACATCCCTAGTAGGGGGTGTGCAAGAGGCAACTGATCAATGATTCTCATCGATGTTTCTAACTCTATCCCTCTCTGTAAGAAATCAATAAAATATATTTTAAAAAGTAAAGAAAATTAGTAAAATGTATATGAAAATCTTACCCCTGTCAGAGTCTGGGGCATACCATGGGACCTAGAGTCAAGTCCCTGCCCACCCACGTGCACCTCAAAATCACACGTGACCCAGACCCAACCAACACCTTTCCTCATAGGGCTAGATCCAGACCCGGTCAGTCCCATCCTTGGCAAGGACCCAATGGGTGGGGGGTGCAGCCTCAGGTCCCCTGGCCTGGCGCCATGGCAGGGGGTGCAGACTGTGGTCCCCCAGCCTGGACTGAGGTGGGGGCATACCTTGAGGTCCCTCATCAAGCCCTGCCAGGCAGGGGGCACAGCATGAAGTCCCCTGTCAAGCCCTGCTGGGCAGGGGGTGTGGCCTGAGGTCCCCCAGCCTGGTGCCAGGGTGTGGGGCGTGGCCTGAGGTCCCCTGTCAAGCCCCATGGGGGTGGAGGGGGCGCAGCCTCAGGTCCCTGCTGATTGCTCATTAAGGCTTGTTACAGGAACTCAGACTCTGCTGTGGGTACAGCCATCTTTGTGGCGGAGTGATGGTGAATTTGCATTTTCCCTCTTTATTATATAGGATAGAAGATGGCGACATAACCATGAAATGATGTATGTTGAATCCAACATAACCCGAGGACTGCCTGTAAACTTTTATCATTTAAAAATAATTCTAATGGTAAATTTTGTTATGTATATTTTACTACAATAAAAATTTTTAAAAATATTTTTACTGATTTCAGAGAGAAAAGAAAAGGGAGAGAGAAACATCAATGATGAGAGAGAATCATCAGTCAGCTGCCTCCTGCATGCCCCCTACACGTGCCCTGACTAGGAATTGAACTGTGACCTCCTGATTCATGGGTCGATGCTCAACCAATGAACCACAGAGGCCTGGTCAACCACAGCGATTTTTAATGAGACCAAATGTTTTAACAAGCAAAATAAGACATTTCTTTAAAAATCTTTATCTCATTAAAATAATTACTCTGTATATTTTATAAGCTATCTCCTATATAATAAAAGCCTAGTATGCAAATAGACCAAACGGCAGAATAAGCAGTCGCTATAATACACACTGACCACTAGGGCACAGATGCTCAACACAGGAGCTTCCCGCAGGCCCCCATCCAGCCAAAGCGGGTGCCAGTGGGGCCCCCCTGATTGCCCTGCTGGTAGCTCTGCAGATGGATCCCAGGCCTAGGGACCCTACCTGTGCATGAATTTCATGCACTGGGCCTCTAGTAGTAATATAATGGTATAAGTCAAGCATGTCAAACTCATAGCCCATGGGCCGCATGTGGCCCACAATAAATATTTTTGTGGCCCAGCCAATATAACAGTATGTAAAAACATTTTAATCAAAATTTCGTAACTTAATTTTTACAATATCCTGTTATACATAATTACTAATAACGAACTATATTATTGGCTAATGACTAATTACTATAATCGTGTTGCATTCATTTCCCTTATTTGCCTTATGTGCAGGCGCACCATTTCTCTCCACTAATACTAGCAGAGTGAATATTTTAGCAGCTGATTGCACGTCATTAGTCTTTTCCTGACTTGTTTGGTGTGCACAATAGGAAAAATTTTGCTTTCAGAGAACAAGAAAAATAGGTTTATTTGCGTTATGCTTATCAATTTGTATAGTTATTCAATGTCTGGTAAGTTAATGTTTAAGAAAATATTAATTTTTATTAAAATGTTCAATTCTTTTATGTTAACGATTACTCATCTCAGCTCTTTGTATTCAGAATGTCTCTATTGAAATAAACCTACATTTCTATGAAAATTGAAGCTTTGTTTTTTTGTCCACATAAACTTAAACCTTGTTCATTTGACCTGTGTTAGCCTTTGAGTTTGACATGCTTGGTGTAAGTAATTATATATATATATATATGTATATGTATGTATATGTATGTATTTTTTTTGTCATGCTCATGAATTTTACTCATAGGGATATGTGATCAAAATAATTTGGAGACTACTGCACTAAAAAGTTGGAAGATTCTGTTCTCAGAAAATTGAAAAGAAGAATTTATAAGCAGAGATTTGAAACCATTCAAGACGATGATTGAAACCAGTCAGGTAATATTAAAGTATACCACATTTATGTGATATAAGAAAACTCAAGATTGTAAAATATCATTTTCTCCTAGTTAATTCCTTTCAATTAGTTCATTCATTTAATGCAATTCCAATAAAAACCCCAGTGGGATTTTTAAATGCAACTTGACAAGGTGATTTTAAAATTAACATGAAAGTAAATGTTATGAATAGCAAAGACTATGTTGTAAGAGAACAAAGAGCAACTTGACTGAATAAAGATAAGAGCATGTTATAAAGCTATGGCAGTTGAAACCTTGTCATATTGATTTAAGAATTGGTAGAAAGAGTTTCCAAAAATTGGCCCATGTATATGGAAATTCATTATATGTTATAAGTGGCATTTCAAACCTTCAGATAAAGTCTGTTAATAGTCAAATTATTTTCAGACAATCAGATACCTGTTTGAAAAAAATAGTGATACACAATCCTGTCTCATTCCATTCATAAAAATCAAGGCTAGACTGACCAACATGGCTCAGTGGTTGAGCATTGACCTATGAACCAGAAGGTTATCGTTTGATTTGATTTCTGGTCAGGACACAGTCCCAGGTTGCAGGCTCAATCACCAGTAGGGCGTATGCAGGAGGCAGCCATCAGTGATTCTCTTTCATCGATGTTTCTCTCTTTCCCTCTCACTTCCTCTCTGAATAAAATAAAAACATTTTTTAAAATGTCAACTCCAAATCTAAATATCTTACCTAATAAAGAGGGGATATGCTAATTGACCATCATGCTCTTACAAAGATGGTGGCACCCACAGCCAATAAGGAGGGAATATGTTAATTGCCATACCCTCAAAGATTGTGGCGCCCAGTCCCCTCAGCCCTGCCAGGGCCACATCCAGGCGAGTCTGGCTGCTCCACGTGTCTGTCTCCAGAGTCCCCCAATCCCCTAAGCCCCCAGCCGCCCAGGGCCAGCCCAAGGTGCACGCAAGCCTCAGATTGTAGTTGCCCAGCTGCCCAGCGCCACCCGAGGCTCAGGTAACCAGGCTGGCCAAGGCTTGTGCTGCTGGCAGTGGCAGCAGCAGAGGTGTGATGGGGGCATTGCCTTCCCCTGATCACAGGGTCACCTTCTGCCCCTGAAGGCTCCCGAACTGTAAGAGGGGGGCAGGCCAGGCTGAGGGACCCCCCTCTCCAGTGCATGAATTTTCATGCATCGGGCCTCTAGTAAACAAAAGCATTAGAATAAGTGTTTTATAACTATTATAGAATGTCTTTATATCTTGGATAAGAGTCTTCTAAACAAGACACAAGAAAGCAAAAGATCTAATGGATAAAATTAATAAAACTGACTACATAAAAATAAAATTTTGTAAGTCAAAGATACTACAAGTGAAGATAATAACATTTCAACACATAAGGGTTTTTATGCAGAATCTATACATACATACAGATATATATATATATATATATATATATATATATATATATATATATATATATATATATATATATATAAAAGCCTAAGCGACCATTGCAACCGAAAGGACAACCGAACAGGCTGTGTGGGGTGACCAGGCCAGCAGGGGGGTTAGTGAGGGGCGACCAGGCTGGCGGGGGGGTGAGGGGGCAGTAAGGGGCAACCTGGCTAGTGGGGGTGGGCAGTTAGGGGCAACTAGGTTGGCGGGGGGGGGGGGCAGTTGGGGGTGACCAGGGCAGCAGAGGGCACGGTTAGGGGTGATCAGGCAGGCAGGTAGGTGAGCTGTTAGGAGCCAGTGTTCCCGGATTGTGAGAGGGTTGTCCGACTGAGCCTAAACCGGCAGTTGGACATCCCCTGTGAGGTCCTGGATTGGAGACGTGCAGGCTGGGCTGAGATACCCTCACCCAGGTACAAAAGAAAACTTGTGCAAGTATATTCCTTGTAATGGCAAAAAATTGAAATGACCCTGATGTCCATCAAGAGAAGAATGGTTAAATAGGATATAGTTTACTCATACTAAAATGCAAGAGTTGCCGAAACCGGTTTGGCTCAGTGGATAGAGCGTCGGGCTGCAGACTGAAAGGTCCCAGGTTCGATTCTGGTCAAGGGCATGTACATTGGTTGCAGGCACATTACTGGTGGCGGGTGTGCAGAAGGCAGCTGGTCGATGTTTCTCTCTCATTGATGTTTCTAACTTTCTATCCCTCTCCCTCTCTGTAAAAAATCAATAAAATATATTTTTTTAAAATGCAAGAGTGAAAAATAGTGGGGTAGGCCTAAAAAAAGTTATAAAATTATCTCCAGTATAGTTTTGAGTAAAAAAACTTAAGTTGCAGAATGAAATATATATTATTCCAATTTTCTTCAAACTCACACACACACTAAAATAATATTTTTCTGTGCCACCAGATATATGTGGGGCTGCAGTTAAGGGGACCTTTTGACTTATCCATACATAGCATTTTATTAATGTTTTTACAAAGGTAAAAATCATACATTAATGAATAATTGAAAGTTATTAAAAAGTAAGACTAATTAGGTTCACTTTTTCCCAAATTAGAGAATTATAACTATTCCAAATTAACAAAGAAATGAGGACATCTGTAGCAACATGTCATTACACGTGATGGGGAAATTTAGCTTGGCTAACAGCAGACATTTTAGTACTTTGGGTAGCTGATACTCTGCTGTTGGTGTCATGTTTTCCAAGCAACAAATTGGACAAAAAGGCAAGCACTGTATTTACCAGCAGATAGCCTGTATATAAAACCAACTAGGCTTTTATAGTAAAATATGAAAGCTCAGTTGTGACTAAGTCCAGTTCTTCATTGGAAGAAACTGGCTTTTAGCCTCTTTTATCCTGTTTCTCCCTTAACAGGAGCCACAAAATTGATAGGCAAGCATCGCCACCCAGTGGGTGTAGTTCACATTGCAGTTTGTCACTGCACCCTTTTGTTCTCCAAATTTCAAACCAAAGGTTCTGTATTTTGGATATACATGAAAAGTAAAACGTTTTGCCGAGACTGGTTTGGCTTAGTGGATAGTGTGTCGGCCTGCGGACCGAAAGGTACTGGGTTCAATTCCGGTCAAGGGCATGTACCTTGGTTGCGGGCACATCCCCAGTGGCGGGTGTGCAGGAGGCAGCTGGTCGACGTTTCTCTCTCATCGACGTTTCTCTCTGTCCCTTTTAATTCTAACTCTCTATCCCTCTCAGTTCATCTCTGTGTAAAATTAATAAAATATATTTTAAAAAAAGAAAAGTAAAACGTTTTTAAAAATTCAAGATACCCACCTACAGTTATAAATTTTAAAATCATGGCAAATATTTTTTAAATTAAATCTTTATTGTTGAAAGTAGTACATAAGTTCCCCTTTCTCCCCCTCTTCCCCATTGACCTCTTCTAGCCCGCCCCTGTCTGTTCTCACCCTAGGCCTTCACCACCCTATTGTCTGTGTCCATGGATATACGTATAAGCATAGGAGTTGTTTGGTTGATCTCTTCCCACCTACCCACCCACCCACCCACCTCTGTCTTCCCTCTGAGACCCCAGTCTGCTCCATGCTTCTATGGCTGGATCTATTTTGTTCAATACATTCCACATATGAGTGAGATCATATGATACTTGCCTTTCTCTGACTTATTAATACTCTTCAGGTCCCTCCATACTGTCTCAAAGGGTAAGAGATCCTTTTTTTTTTTACTGCTGCATAGTATTCCATGGTAGAACTGTATCACAGATGTTTTATCCATTTATCTACTTTTGGGCACTTGGACTGTTTCCAGATCTTAGCTGTTTCTGACAAAAATTTTTAAAAAGCCTACCTTCTACTGGCATTACTAGTTTGTAAAAGAACAGATATTTAAAACAAAATAGCAGAGAGGCCATGAAATATACTGAGACAGTCCTGCTTATGAAAAAAGTTGAACATTGTATATTTATTTCATACACATATAAATATCTCATAACTATTAATAATTGAGATGGTGAATTTAAAAAATATATATTGTTATTGATTTCAGAGAAGAAGGGAGAGGGAGAGAGAGAGAGAAATATCAATGATGAGAGAGAACATTGATTGGTTGCCTCTTGCATTTCCCCCACTGGAGATTAAGCCTGCAACCCAGGCATGCGCCCTTGACCAGAGTTGAACCTGGGAACCTTTAGTCCGCAGGCCGATACTCTATGCACTGAACCAAACCAGCGAGGACGAGATGGTTGATTTTGTGTGTCAACTTGACTAGGCCACAGGATAGATACCCAGGTAGGTACCTATCTATTATTTTTGAGAGTTTCTGGAAGAGATTATCATTTGAATTGGTGGACTGAGTAAAGAAAATTGCTCTCCCCAATGTGTGTGGGCCTCATCCAACCCACTGAGGGCCGAATAGAAGAAAAAGACAGAGGAAGGTTGAATTTCCTCTCTCTGCTTGACGGTCTGAGTTGCCCTGGGACTGGGACTTACTCCACTGTTGCTCCTGGTTCTCAGGCCTTTGTATTTGGACTGGAATACTGCATGCCATGGGCTTTCCTGAGTCCAGCTTCCAGAGAGCAGATAGTGGACTTCCTATTTCTCCTATTGGTTCTGTTTCTCTGGAGAATCCTAGTACATATTTACATAATCCTTTCATAATATTTATGTAACTCTCCTGAATCAATATATGTCTCAGCTTCATCAATGAAAGCAGAGCTGGAAACAGTCTTGTACACAGATTCTTATTTGGGGGTATCAGAAGTGGGAGCAGGGCCGAAACCGGTTTGGCTCAGTGGTAGAGCGTCAGACTGTGGACTGAAAGGTCCCGGGTTTGATTCCGGTCAAGGGCACCTTGGTTTCGGGCACATCCCCAGTAGCGGGTGTACAAGAGGCAGCTGGGCAATGTTTCTCTCTCATTGACGTATCTTGCTCTGCTCTCTATCTCTCTCCCTTCCTCTCTGTTGTTGGGAGCCTGCAGAGTTGAGGCAAGCAACTCAGTCTTAAGGAAATAGAATTAAGTTCCTTCTAGCAGAAGTTATGAGGTGCCCTGAGGGCTTGGCCAGAAGATAAGATTAACCTGGGACTTAGCATCTCCTGTCTTCCTGCCTCTTCCCCTTCCTGATCCTCCCCGCTAGATAGCCCAGCCTTGGAATGTTGCACCTTGGAATGTCACACCGCCTCTGGCAATTAGTCAATCCTGTGTTGCCATACCAAAGACCCTCCTGCCTAGGCAACCCCTGCCCCCCTTTGTTTAGTCAGTCCTGTGTTGCCATACCAAAGACCCCCCTTCATAGGCAACCCTGCCCCCCTTTGTCTCTGCTGTATAAATACAGCCATTTCAAAGAATAAAACTGAGGCTTGATCAGAACCTTGTCTTGCCTTCATTCTTTCGCGTTCCTAGTTTGTTCATACTTTTAGGTGGTTCCTGCGTGCCCCCGTTGTTGTCCCGCGGGTCGGGACAAAATGGCGTCCAACGTGGGGTACTCCTGAGAATCTCTAGCGAGAACGTCTACCGGAGAAGTCCTGGCCAGGCACCCCCAGAGTCGCCGCGAGGACCCGCGAGTGAAGACTCAGCACTAGATCGCCACGGTCCGCCCGCCGTGAGACAGATCGGAGTAAAGGTAGGTAGACGATTTTTCAAACAAGATTTCAGAACATTTCACCCCTTTTTTTGCTCCATTGTTATTATTGGTTCTCTTGGTTGGTTTCTTCCTGCCCACTAATAAGCGCTCACTTGCCGATCTGGGGAAGAGTGAAAGGTACCCATTTCCGGCTGTGAGAACTCCGATTCACTTGAACTAGTACCGTCTCCCGGTTTTCTTGGCGAGAATCCTCTCCAATTAGATCTACTCTTAAAACCTTGAGCTTGCTTTGAACAAAAAGTCGTTCACCTCACAGACTCAACCATGGGAGACCTGCGCGCCTGAGGAGGGCAAATGGGGTCTCCCTGTCTGTGAGGATCCGTGTAGGCGGATTATACCTACCGACCGTTTCACGCAAGCAAGGGAGTAAAGGGTAGAGTCGAAAAGAGAGTAATTCCGCCTGAATTCCTGGGTTAACGAGAAAATTCAAGCTGACCTGGCACGGGGTTTATACGTCCCGGAGGCTTACGTGGAGAAGGAACCTCTTAGAGAGCCATCCAATCGACCGATAATGGGGAATTTGAGTTGTCATGAAATGTTCCTTGACGGTGTCAAGATTTCCCTCAGAAAGCGAGGAGTAAGGGTTAAAAAAAAAGAATCTTAGAAAAAGGGCTCAGGGAGTCCCCTCAGGCAAGAGGAATTAAGGCTAGAAAAAAAGGATCTTAGAAATGAAAGTGCTCTTTAGAGTGAATGTTGATGTCTATGTGATCACAAAATAATGTTGTTTTTTGTTGAAATTAGAATCTTAGTATATGTATGGAATTTGAAATCTATAATAAGTGGAACTCCACTGCTGAAACTACCTCTGACTTAATGCCTTGTTTAAAAATTATAAGAAAACTCACAGGGAAATGCAAATCTTGACCAAATTGGGTATTAATTATTATTTCAGAAAGCCAAAAAGGAAGAAAGAAATTGAGATCTGTCTATTTTTTAAGCATGAAAAGAAATTCAGCCAGATCTGTTGCTGATGCTTCCCCTGAAGTAAGCAGAATATGGGGGAAGGGAGAGACATGGGGCGATCCAATATAGAAGCCCGCTCTCCTAGTATATTAAATTAAAAATTTCCTTTCTCGCCATAAAAAAGTTTTAAAAATTTAAAAATGAGTCTGGGATATCTGTGCACGTGTAAAGAGTAAGCTAGTATAAGACTAAATGCGCGCACGTCCGATTTCAGATATTAGATAAGTCTTGAACTAGCCTTAACTTTTTACAAGAGCTACAGAAATGAAAAACCCAGAACTGATTCTTTTTCCTGAGAAAAACAGCGAAAAAATCTTCTTGAAAGAAATTCAAGCTAATTCCAGCAACAAGATGTGCATTTCCATAATAAGAAATAGTTTTCAAAATGCTAGTGAACCTTATTAAAAAGTTAACTTTTAAGGCCTTCAAGAAAATAAGTAAATTAGTCTCTGTCATAGAATTTATCCAAAGTAAATACTTTAAAGATCTAAGTAGTCCAGATAACTGGCTACATCCTTTGTTGAGGGAGGAAAGGGTAAAGGCCCTTCCCCCAGCAGACAGTTAAGATAGTGTCCTGCCAGTAGCCAGCTTAAAGAATGTGATAATTTACAGTCGAATAAACAAAACCTAGTTTCCCAGAACCACTGGCAAATAAAAATTAAAGTTCAAATTTGCCTCATAAAAAACCTAGAGGACAGAATTGAATCTATTAATTGATTATGTCTTGTATTTCTCTTAAAAACATAGTGTTATTAATCTAAGAACTACTAAATATATTTGACTTGCCAGTTTTAAAAATTCAAAGTTCAAATTAAATTAGGAGAAATTGTAGAGTTGTAGTGATTAAATACTTAAAGCATAAAAACTTATTTTTAAGAAAATAAAATATTATATTTCCTCTAATAATTAGGAATTCAAAATAAGTTGCTTATTATTAATCTAATTAGAAAGAGAATTGATTCTGTGATCTCCACCAAAAATTTTTCTATACAAAAACTAGTCTAAATCTAATTGATATCTTAAGATAATAGTAGATAATAATAACAGATATTAAAATATTTAAATCATATATAGATATTTGTTTGATGGTTTTTTTTCCATGTTAAAATTTCAATGCCTTACTTTTTAAAACAGATCTAATACTTAAAATTGCATGGAAAGCCTTAAAGATAAAAGCCATGCTTTTGGATCAGACCAATAAAATCTTTGCCATTATTTTTTTAAACTAAAAATACCTACTTAAGTTACTTTATAAATTAGCTTTTACAATATAATCAATGTCATATAAATTAAGTTACATGAGAAGCCAATGTTTTATAAATAATTGAATCCTAACTATATATAGCCGCCTACATTTTAATCAAGCTAAAGGCAAGGCAACATTTGTGGCTTATGAATTCAAAAGTAAATTTGCTTTATTTTTAAAGTAAAGATACCTTGTCATGATAGCAATCAGCACCTGTGCATTGCTACAGGTTGCCCAGGACCAAGGGCAAGGAAGATCGGTGTACACACCCTTCTACATAGAAATCAAAATACTTAATATTTTATATTCTACCGGGAACCCTAGCTTAGGGGCTTGATTTATATCTAACACAGACAGAGAATAGTATTAACTACCACAGTAAAAGAAATTTTTTTATCTCAGGTATTAACCATTTTTACAGATAGATCCAGTTCTAGAAAGGCTAGATATACTACAGCAGAGAAGCAAAGGTCCTTCAAACCTTCAATAGAAATACAAGCTCTTATTTATGCCTTAACAGATTTTACTTTACAGAGCCCATCAGTCTATAGTAATAATACTTATATGGTAAATATAGCAAAAATTATTAAAACAGCTACTATAAGGCACATTAATTTAGAGGAACTTTTCATTTAACTTTCAGTCTATAAAATGTTATTTGAGAATGGCAATTTCCATATTTTATTAGAAACAATGTCTTCAGTATATTATCCAACTTCCTATACCAACCTTAGGAATAAATTCCCGAGGACTTAAACCTAATCAAATCTGGTAAAATAAATGTCACTCAGTGGTAGAAAGAGCCATTCGTATACTTAAGATCACTTTAAAAACAGAAAAGGAGGAGACAGATATTATGTGTCACCTCAAGAGAAGCTCAGTCATACTTTTTATACTTTAAAAAATTTTTAAATTGTGATGCAGAAGATCGTACAGCAGGCGAAAGGCATCAGGCCTCCTGTACAATAGCCTCCACCGAGTCAGCTAGGTGGAAGGAAGCATAAACCAGAAAAGAGTTTTATCAGATTCAGTAATAATGTGGGGCTAGGAGTGGTTGTACATTCTTATACTAAGTTATCTAATCAAGTAATCAATGATGTCCAAGCTCTCTCTAGTATCATTAATGATCTCCAAGACCAAATTTACTCCTTAGCTGAAGTTGTTCTACAAAATAGGAGGTTAGACTTACTCAGAGCAGAGCAGGGAGGGATTTGCTTAGCCCTACAGGAATGTTGCTGTTTCTACGCCAACAAGTCCGGAATCGACCGAGACAAGAAAGCGGCAGAAAGAACTGTTCGAGAACCCTCTCTGGAACGGACTAAACGGACTTCTCCCCTACCTTCTCCCCATCCTGGGCCCCCTCATAAGTTTCTTATTAATCCTATCCTTTGACCCCTGGGCTTTTCGGAGGTTAACAGATTTTGTAAAACAACACATTGACAGCATCTTGGCCAAACCCATCCAGGTACATTACCACCGTTTAGCCGTAGCTGACCATGAGCAAGATTATGTACTTTACCATCGCTCCCTCCCTGCGGGGACAGCATGATGACCAGAGGAATGCTTACCTACTCCCCACTAAGGAGAAAGGTATGGGTACCGATATGGGTGCAGAGCAAAGCATTGCAAGGGAAGGTCCAAAAAATTTTCCGACCCCCTCTTCCCAAGGGAAGGTCACGGGAAAATTTCGACCCCCTCTGGATTTCCCTGTGAGCATACCTGGTTTGCATAGAGGTTGGTATCAATACAAATCCAATCGGCTCTGCCTCTCCTCCCCAAAAGATACCAAGAGCCGCTAACACTGGTGGGCCTGGGAAGCCCACGGGAGGAACCAGGTCACTACTCCCCCAATCGGTTAAGGCCCACCCTCAATTAAGACAAAGGGAGGAGATGTTGGGAGCCAGCAGAGTTGAGGCAAGCAACTCAGTCTTAAGGAAATAGAATTAAGTTCCTTCTAGCAGAAGTTATGAGGTGCCCTGAGGGCTTGGCCAGAAGATAAGATTAACCTGGGACTTAGCATCTCCTGTCTTCCTGCCTCTTCCCCTTCCTGATCCTCCCCCCTAGATAGCCCAGCCTTGGAATGTTGCACCTTGGAATGTCACACCGCCTCTGGCAATTAGTCAATCCTGTGTTGCCATACCAAAGACCCTCCTGCATAGGCAACTCCTGCATAGGCAACCCTCCTGCATAGGCAACACTCTGTAAAAAATCAATAAAATATATTTTTTTTAAAAAAGGAAAAAGGAAAAAAAGAAGTGGGAGCAGGGAGAATTAATGAGTAATATGGTCCTTCCCAGATAGAGGCAAACTGCCTTTCATCCTCTTTATCACTGGCATTGAGAAGAACTCTTCACCAGATCAGTATCCCTAGGAAGTTCCCAGAGCTGTGTTGTGTCCCAGTAGACTGCTACTCCTGACACAGCGGCTATGATTGGGCTGTGCACCTAGCTAAGTTTATAGTAGTTTACAATCATCTGCCATAATCACCTCGTTTTTGGGAGCCAAGCAGGTGAACTGCATGGGGATTTGATGGGAACTCTCACTCCTGAATCCTTATATCTTTGAAGATGGTGCTCCAGGCCACAATCCCACCTGGGATGCAGTATGCTTTCTGATGTAATGCTTTCTGGCTCCACAGCTCCCCCTCCAACTGGGACCTTGCTGGTATTTCAGGTCCTATGGTGTCAGTGTCACCACAGACCCTGTAGCTGCTCTGGAAGATCTGGTATTCTCCTTATCCAGTGTCTAGTTAACTCTGGTAAATAACCACAGGTTCCTTTGGGAAATAATAAGGGACATATTTTTTAAAAAATATATTTTTATTGACTTTAGAGAGAGGAAGGGAAAGGGAGTGTGTATTTCTGCCTTGCTCAGTCACTGGGAGCAGTTCAAGGGAAGCGTGACCTCAGTGTAAACCGAGGATAGAGTTGATAGCCTAGCAGACTCTTGATCACATAGCTTTGACTACTTCCATTCCCTGTAGCTGGAGGCCTCCGAGAAGCAGTCTCATGGCTACCACATTTTATCAGTTTCCCCTCAGCACCTCTATAACACAGCCCCACAGAACAGTAAAGCATCACGTTTCTCTGCAGCAGTAAAGACGTGTTTCACAGACTGAATACAAGGCACATTCCAGGACAACAAAGTAACTTGAACTGGTCTTGGGAGTATATTCCAGTGGATTAGTTCCAGGTATCAAGCAATAGAAAGAGAATGAGAAAAGAAAGAAAGAAAAAAAAAAAAATGGAGGGAAGAAATAGTTTGCCTTCAGCATTTGGGACTAGTATTTGGGAACATCCTCATGGATCATAATGGGCTTCAAGAGATCCCGCAGGCCAAAAAGCCCAAACACCTTATTTACGGGGGAAAAAATCCATTTAGTCTTAATTTTTTTAACTTTCTTATTTTGGTGGTGAGATCCAGAGAAGGGAGACAATTTCCCAACACCATGTAGCAAGTTAGTAGCAGAGTCAGGACTGGAAGCCAGGTCTGTACACTCTTGAGTTATTCATTCATGAGGGTGTCTCTTGTTCCTGGCTGCATGCTACACTAATACAAAATTGTTGAGAATTAACTGAAGTTCCAGCCTTCTTGGAACTTCAAAGAAGGTGCTGGAGTTGGATGTCAGAAGATTAAGAGGAGTTTGTCAGAATGTGCAGGGAGAGGAGGCAGTGGGCAAAGTAGGGAGGCCTGAAAACAGCACCGGGTTTCAAAATCCCAAGTAAACACCTGACTCAGGTGAAGTAGAGGTGGAGGGGAGGCTGGGGAGGCCAGCTGGAATCGCTGCAGGCTGTTGCGCAGTGAACGACAATATTAAGCTTCATTCTATCTCACTGTGGCAGGAGCACTGACTGAGTGGCTTGGTAGCTAAAGGGAGCAGGAATAGCTGCAACTTAGGTAAGAAATTACTAGGGACAGTGGCCACAGGAGTAAAACAGAGTAGGGGAGAGCACTCCACCGGAGTTGCTCAGAGTGGGCCAGCCCTTACGTTTTATTCTTGCTGAAGAGCCTTGCAAAAATATGAAAGATGCTCAGCACAAAAAAAAAAAAAAAAAAAGATGCTCGGCACACATACATTGTGCGGGAAGGGAAGTGAATTCAGGCCGCCGGCTGGAGCTCGGCAGGGAGAGAACCGGTCCCCACCGACGGCTCGCTCGGCCTCCGGCCTCTGTCTTTGCCTTCAGCCAATAGGAAACATGGTCGCGGGTTCTTCCGCCGGGGCGTGGGGTCAAGGGTCACGCAAGATGGCGGCGCCCAGGAGCCGCTGAGGCGAGAAGCAGAGGATGGCGCTGGGGGTGCTGGCGGCGGCCTCGCAGCCGGGGCGCTGGCTGCGCGGGCCGGGGCCGGGGCGGGGGCACTGGACGGCGGCCTGGCGCTCGCGGAGCCGGCGCGAGGCGGCGGAGGCCGAGGCGGACGCGCCCGTGTTCCAGTACGTGGGCGAACGCGCGGCCCGTGTGGACCGCATCTTCGTGTGGGGCTTCAGCTTCTCCGGGGCGCTGGGCGTGCCCACCTTCGTGCTGCCCGGCTCCGGACCCGGGCCCCGCGCCGGCTCGCGGCCGCTCCGCAGGATCCAGCCCGTGCCCTACCGCCTGGAGCTGGATCAGAAGGTGCGGGCCGCCGCTCCCTCCCTCCCCCTCCCGAGGCGCGGGGTGGTCCCACTGCCGGGAGGACGGCCCCCGAGCGGGCAGTGGGCCCCGGGGGGGAGGGCCGAGGGGCGCCGCCAACATCCACCGAGCGGCTGGCCTGTGCCAGGTGTTGTGGCCCGCCCGTGTCATCCGCACGTCATCCCGGGAGTCGGGGTTGTCCCCCCAGTTACACGGAAGGAAAGGGAGGTTCGGAGAGGTTAAAGGACAAGTCCCAGACCCCACAGCAGGTACAGTGGGATTCGCACTGGGACCCCTGAGACTCCAGAAGTTCCGGTTTAGGAAAGGCGACTTCAAAAGGTCAGAGAAAATGTGGGCCAGCTGGCCTTGGGATATATTCAAGCTAGATTAGTTCCAGGTATCAAGCAATAGAAAGAGAATTAAAAAAAAAAAAAAAAAAAAAAAAAGGAAGCAGTGGAGGGAAGAAGTGATTTGCCTTCAGCATTTGGGAGAGCCATCAGGCTGGGGTCGGTAAAGAACTGGCAAGGAAATGCTAGCTGGAGCGGTAACAGGAATGAGAGAGGAAGGGTGAGTGGTCCGAGCACACCAGAGGGATTTGCAAAGGAGGCCTTAACTCGTCTCGGATTGGAAAAGATCACAGCACAGGATCGCTTCAGCCCGGCTTATCCCGGAAGCCAGCACCCAGAGAGTTTTCTAAAGGGAGGCTTAGGAATGGATGCTGGTGGAAATCTTGGTGGGGGGTGAAAGAGAAACAGGTTAACCAGTTTGGCTCCTAACTTCGGTCAAGGATAACAAACTGGAGAGCTCAAGATAAAGGAATTTAAACTCAAGTTGAATGAAAAGTTGGGTTGTTTACCTTTTAATATTGAGCTGTAAGAGTTTTGGATGTATTCTGGCTATAGGTCCTTAATCACATGTATGATGTGTGCAGATATTCTCTGCCAGTTTGTGGCCTTTTTTTTTTTTTTTTAAATTAACAGTATGTTGCTATATTAACAGTAGATGTTCTTAAATTGGATAAGTTACCTGACATAAATTGCTGAATAAAACTTGGTATCACAAATCAGTTAATGCCTTATGGGAACTCTTTCAGATTTCATCAGCTGCTTGTGGCTATGGATTCACGTTGCTGTCCTCGAAAACCAAAGATGTTACGAAAGTTTGGGGTATGGGCCTCAACAAAGATTCTCAGCTTGGATTTCACAGGAGCCGAAAAGATAAAAGTGAGCATTCTCACCTTGGCTTTTTTCTGCTGTTACTGGTCTGAGAACTCCCTTTGGATTTTCATGGGTGTCATATACACACACACACACACACACACACACACACACACACATATATATATATGTGTATATATATATATATATAAAAGGCTAATATGATAAGTGTCCCTCCGACCATCTGACTGGTCACTGACACACACTGACCACCAGATGCTCAATGCAGGAGCTGCTGTGACACTCACTGGCCATTTACAAAGAAATGGCACCAGGGACCTGGTGCCAACAAAGCAACACTCAGCTTCCTCCAAGTGAGACACAGGCCCCAACACCACCCTGGTGTGACAGCCCATCAAATTGTAACCGAGGCTGCCGAGACCCCATGGCATAAAATGCGTTCCACAGCCCAGCCCAAAAAACGGTGGCTGTGGGCACCAGGTAATGACGTCACGTAGCAATGCCCGCCTTCCTTTCCCTAGTGACAACTAGCCTCCTTGGAGTTTCTTCAGCCCAGGAACACAATTTGCTTTATACCAGGTGCAAACATTTTACACTTTAACCAAACGTCTGTGAAGCGTTTTTCCGTGCCTCATCTCATTTGATCTTCATAGAAGTCCTGGAGTAGGTAGATAGGAGACTTGGTAAAATCCTATTTTCTTTTCATTAGCTGGAAAACGAAGATTTAGAAAGTTTAGAAACTTAACCCGACTGAAAAGAAGTAAGGAACAGTGGACCTTGAAAATGACTTCAGATTTTCTCACTGTGTAGAATATAGTTAAACACTGCTGCAGTTAAACATTTTACCCTTTGTTCTCCCTGTGTGATCTACAATAATAATGTGCTTCATGTTGATATTTACAGCTGTATTGCTGACAGTTACCTGAAAGAGAAGTTGGGGTGCTTCCCTGAGCTGGTAAAAGTTTAAATCAGAAAGCAGTTCTAATTAAGGAAATTTATTCTATACATATAAAAGGCTAAATTAATACATATAAAGCTTTTGCTGGTGCCAGTCGCACATATGTGTTTTGATCTGTCATTGTTGATCATGAGTTTGGTTGACATTTCTATTTTAGAGAAAGGGCGAATAGCAATATTAAAATATTTCTTCTAATTAATTTCCTTTCAATGTACCTGAATCTGTGCACCGGACCACTAGTCATTACGTACACCAAAGCATAACAAAATAGATGCAGTCTTGAAGGATATTGTTTGAAACCATTTGAACTAGAGTGTTTTTCAGCCCCATTGGTGTAATTAAATTAAACCCTTAGGCAAAAAAGCATTTGCTGATGAGTGGAGATGTTCCTTTTTGGCCCCTAAGAGATGACCTTTCTTTCCTGGCTTGCAGAGAGCCTGCAATACTTTACAGTACCTAGGATATGGTCTGGGGGGAAATTCAATTAAATCCTTAGGATGCAGTCTTTATTTCAGTTGTTTGACAGTTGGATTGTAAAAAATTATAATGACATTATAAAGAAATTATTTATAAAGATATTGTTAGCCGAAACCTGTTTGGCTCAGTGAATAGAGCGTTGGCCTTCGGACCTGGCCTTCGGTCCCAGGTTCGATTCTAGTCAAGGGCATGTACATTGGTTGCGGGCACATCCCCAGTGGGGGGTGTGCAGGAGGCAGCTGGTCGATGTATCTCTCTCATCGATGTTTCTAGCTCTCTATCTCTCTCCCTTCCTCTCTGTGGGGGAAAAAAAAAAAAAAAGATATTGTTAAAAGTACACATTAGCCAAATAGTATTTTAAGAACAATAAGAGATATTTTTTAAACTAAGGGAGAAATACCTAGATATATGTACTAGAATAGACCTTTCTTTTCATTTTTTTTGTTTTCTCATTCATATACAAATATGTATTTTATTTTTATCACAGCATATGCTTTGTTTTCTGCTTTTTTCCACTTAATTTTATATCAGAATTATTTTTTAAGTATTGAAATCTTAATAGTTGTAAGATGTCACATATTTTATACCAATAAAAATATATTTAAAAATTTTATTTGAATCAAAATCTAGATAAGATACAGACCAATTGCAATTGGTTGATAAGATTTTTAAAAGTCTTTTAAGTCTGTTTTAATCTTTTTCCTTTGAAATTTACTTATTAAAGAAATCACGTTTATCCTATAGAATTTTTCAGTTTGGGGTTTGCTGCCTGCATCTCCACTTAACATGATCCTTTATATTTCATGTCACTTGGTAGTTGAATCTAGAGCCATATGCCCTTTAAATGTTATGTATTTACAGCTTCCAGACCTTTAGGGGTCTATATAGGGGCATGTGAGTCACTTCAGTATTTTAAAGTACTGAATCTTTTCAGCTAATAAGGCTGTATAAACTAACAACATTGTCTAGTCTCTTTGATTTTTGCCTAGAGTCATATAATATTACTGTGATAAGCATATTATTCCATGCTGATCAAAAACTCTGTCTGAAAATTGTATTAGTAACTAATGAAACAAATGAGCAGGTTTATTGCTATAACAGTAATTATTTATTTGACAGGCAAAATTTTTTTTGGTTTTTCCTTCCTAAATATATTTTGATTGATTTCAGAGAGGAAGGGATTTTGTGCGTGCGTGTGTGTGTGTGTGTGTGTGTGTGTGAGTGTGTGAGAGAGAGAGAGAGAGAGAGAGAGAGAGAGAGAGAGAGAGAGACATTAATGATGAGAATCATCGATCGGCTGCTTCTTGCACGCCCCCTACTGGGATTGAGGCTGTAACCCAGGTATGTGCCTTGATTGGGAATTGAACTGTGACCTAGTTTATAGGTCAGCGCTCAACCACTGAGCCATGCCGACCAGACAGGCAAAATCTTTTTTTTAGCATGGGATTCAAAAGAGAAAAATAGAGTGTTTATTTTCTCCTTACCTCCAGCCTACATTATAAATATTCAAAGCCCATCATTTAAAACCTACAAGAGGAATTCTTTACATAGACTAATCTGGCTTCTTTAGTAGGATTGTAAAGAACAGTAAGGTTCTTCTGTAGATTGACTTCTAATAAATTTCTCCTCTTATTGAAATATTAAAATTTTCTTCTTTGTATAATTCAGAATCCTAAAGGCAGTATAGAATAGTAGTATATGATGAAAAGTCTGCTTTTCACATCTGTCCTCCCAGCCACATGTCCCTGAAGACAGCCTGCGTTAACAGTGTCCAGGTTATCCTACAGTGATTTTTTTAAAAAATATATTTTATTGATTTTTTTTTTTTTTTTTTTTTTTTTTTTTTTTACAGAGAGGATGAGAGAGGGATAGAGAGCTAGAAACGTCAATGAGAGAGAAACATCGACCAGCTGCCTCCTGCACACCCCCCACCGGGGATGTGCCCGCAACCAATGTACATGCCCTTGACCAGAATCGAACCTGGGACCCTTCAGTCTGCAGACCGATGCTCTACCACTGAGCCAAACCGGTTTCGGCTATCCTACAGTGATTTAATGTAAATGCATCTACATATTCTACATAATGTAATATAAATTACATAATGTAAATGCATCTACATATTCTTTTTGCTTCCCTTGATATAAAAATGTTTGTTGTTCACTTTACTGAGAAGTTTCAGTGGGTATTTCAGGAAGAAAAAAGCTTTTACTTTCCTTAAAAATTCAAATGGTATTAAGTGACATGGGAAGAGATTTTTTAACTAAGACTATTAATGCTTTTCAATAACCCAATGTGATGCAATGGGTTGGGAGTTGGGAACCAGTCCTAGCTTTGCTACCAGCTTATGTGCCTTGAGAAAGTCATTCCGATGTCTTACTGAGTAAAAATGAGACCGTTCAATGATATGATTTCTAATGTTAGAAGTGCTATGACTCTCAATCAGTGTAATGAACCGGATTGTTTTTGTTTCAGCGAGGGGATACGAGTATGTTTTGGAGCCCTCACCAGTTCCACTGCCTCTGGACAGACCTCAGGACACACGGGTGCTGCAGGTCTCTTGTGGCAGAGCCCACTCTCTTGTCCTCACAGACAATGAAGGAGGTAAGGACTAATGGAGGAGTGGAGGAACTTCTTTCTTGCCATTGGGCCTAAAGTGGACCGTTTGTTTGAGCCAGGCCTGTTTAGTGAAGCTGTTGGCATATCCTGAGCAGAGCAGTAGGATGCTCGAGAGAGCTATATTGGGCAGACCTTGCTAAATTTTTTATGCTCTCTGCTCTCGGTGGTTCTTGGAAAATCTCAAGTTATCTATCGATGTGACAACACATATCAGGCAGCCATACCAAGGCTCCCCCTTCCTTTGCATAAACTCACGGAGCTGGGCTGCTTCTGAAAGAAGCCTGTTTGCTAACACTTCTTCCAGGTGGTGGGGCCTTTTAGTGTCCAGGCTTCTGGGTAACTCCATCCTCTCCAGAAGAGCAGTCTCTGGGGAAAGGCCAACTTGACAAAAAATTTTAAATTTCATTTTCTGGCTAAGTGTGATTTGTAAGAAAAGGTGAAGAGAGTGTTGAACTTTTTCCAGAGGAATTTTTGCATCAAGAACAACCTAGTGACAGGTTTAAGAAATGGGGGTGTTGCCAAAACCGGTTTGGCTCAGTAGATAGAGCGTCGGCCTGCGGACTGAAAGGTCCCAGGTTCAATTCCAGTCAAGGGCATGTACATTGGTTGCGGGCACATCCCCAGTAGGGGGTGTGCAGGAGGCAGCTGGTCGATGTTTCTCTCTCATCGATGTTTCTAACTCTCTATCCCTCTCCCTTCCTCTCTGTAAAAAAATCAATAAAATATATTAAATTTAAAAAAGAAAAAGAAAAAGAAATGAGGGTGCTGAGGCTTTCACCGGAGGTGCTTACTTTGTGTAAGGTGGGATTTCTGAGAGGTGGAACTAGAGTCCAGAGGGGAGGGCAGAAGTGACAGTAAAGGTGGCACACACTGATGTGGCAGGTCTAGACCCCACCGTGCCTGTGGCTCTGCCTGGGCAGGTTGCGAATGTTGGAGAAGGGAACGAAATGGCATCTAGGGTGAGTGGTTGGACTAGGATCACTTTGAGACCCCCTTCCAGTCCTGACAGTCCAGGATTCCATGAATCTGAAGAACTGATTTAATTGGGGTGTTACTTTTTAGTTTTCAGCATGGGAAACAATGCTTATGGGCAATGTGGAAGAAAAGTGGTCGAAGATGAAATTTACAGGTAAGTCCCTGCAACCCCCTTCCCCAGTTGTGTTAAACATTAAGCTTTTCTTGAGTGATGGATCCACAGAGCAGTAGAAGGGTTCCTCGTGTGTGAGAAGCAGCGAGAACTCACTGGAAAGTTGTGGAGAAGATGTTCTATGGCAGGTTGAGCGCCATGCATTAGCGAGGTAGGAGGGGAGGGCGCATGAGCATTGATTGTGATGTATAGAAGTTCTTTGAATAAGTTTTGTATTTTTAACCAAATTGATTAACTTCAAAAATTCTCCTCTATTTCAGTCCTATTCATTTAGTCTAAAAAAAAAACAAACACACACACAACAAAAACCAAAAAACTTTCCCTCTGGTTTATTGTATTGTGCTGGTGATTCTAAATATTACTACCAGTCTCATCTCTGGCAGCCTATGAAAATCGTCAAAGGGTTTTGTTGTGTTGTTTTACTTTCACACCTTGGCCTAATTCTGCCTTATATTTGACCTTGAGAGTTTCCCTAATAGTTATTAAGTATGTGGGGGCCACAGTTGAGGGTGACAGGGGAGGGGCCAGAACCCCACAATGCTTACCATGAACATACCTCTTGCTTCTCCCCAAATTGCTCCCGGTGTAGTGAAAGTCACAAGGTCCACAGAATGCAGAACTTCGATGGACAAGTGGTCCAGGTAAGAGGCATGGGCTGAAAGCCACTCTGTTCCCTGGGGTACTTTGAATGGGGGAAAGATGGGTGGAGTGATGGCAAACTTTATAGGCAGATTTTCTGAATTAATCGTTTAGTAAAAATGACTACTGCTTACTATAGACCACAATTTGCCGTAGATCGCCAGCGGACAAAGTTTAATCAAGTTTGGGGGATAACAATCTAGTCGGAGACACAGGTTAAAAAAAACTATATCAGAGCACTGTGCATGTTCTAGCCTGGCTTTATTTTATTCCCATTTCTGGTGTAGAGCCTGGCACATGGTCGGTACTTACAATGAGTACCTAAATAAGTGAATGTATAAGGAAATGCTATAAAAGTAGCAGAAGGGGAATTGTTAAGTCTAGTGGGGTGGAATGAAGAGAAAAAAGGCACCATGGAGAGGTAGCAGAGGAATTGATCAGGTAGACTGGAGAAGGGTGGGAGGAAAAGTTTTCTGGCCGAGGAGAGGGAGCAGCTGGAGGCGCTGACTGCTGAGAAAGTGCAGTGGGGCTGGAGTTTGGTGTGCTTATGGGGAGAGGTGTGGGATAGGCTGGAAGATGGGTTCAGAGTGGACAGTGCATGGTTTGGAATGCCTTGCTAAGGAGTTTAGACTTCATCCTCTTGACAGTTTGGGCCTATCAAAGATTCTCACCAGGGGGAGTGACAGCCAAATCATGATCTAGTTAGAAAGATAACTTGGCCATGGTGTGGAGTAGAGGAGGGGAGGAAGGGATCAAGGTCACTTGGGAAGCCTTGGGGAGAAGGGACTGATGGGAGATAGGTAAGGAGAATTGACTGGATTTGGGGCTTGATTAGCGGGGCAGGGAGCATGCTAAAGGGAGTTGAGGGTGATTCCACAGGCAAATGACTTGGCTGATGATGTTCTCAACCCAGACAGAGGCCTATTGGAGGAGGAGCAGGTGTGGACTGGCTGGGAGAGGAGGGCGGGAGGAGCAGGAGAGTGGATTTGCAATGGAATGTAGTGATTCGGTCACAGAGATGTAAGTTTAACTCCTTGCTTCTCCACATATTAACTAGGTGACTTTGGATAAGTTACCTAACTTCTCAGAGATTCAGTTTCTTACTGGGTGGTCTTGGTTATTGACTCAACATAAAGTGCCTGACATACTAAGTGTTCAATAAAGAGTGCTTCTCATTAGGCAGTTAGGGAAATAGGTCCAAACTCAGTAGATTTGTTGGGATTGGGGGTAACAGTGTGGAGGTGACAGCGAAAGCCTTGGGAATGGATACAGTCTCCTGGGAAATGTGAAGGCAGGAGAGAAGAGGGCAGAGGACAGAACTTGGGAGGAGTCCACCACTGAAGGGTAAGAAGTAGAGGCTTAGAGAGGGAGAAGAGAAATAGTGAAGAGAAAGGCTTTGGAGGAAATAGTGAAGAGAAAGGCTTTGGGAAGTTAATACAACTTTCACAGTTATGGCTCTATCTGAACCATTTTGAGATGTACAGTTCACTGATATTAAGTACGTCTCAGGTGTGGAGGCAGTGGAGGAGCTCTTTAGGACACCTGGCACTTTACTTAGCAAGAGCAGTTCCAGTGGAGTGGGAGACCGCGAGCTGTAGTACACTGAGAGTGAATAAGACATGGAGACAGTGTGGGGCATCCTGCTGGCTGGACCCAGCCTGCTTGGTGCTCAGGAGCGGTGGGGAATGCTACTGGGCTTCAGGTCCATTGTCTGGGATGCTGGGCTTCAAAGAATTCTCATCCACCTTACCTCTGTTTGTCTAATAGGTCGCCTGTGGCCAGGACCATAGTCTGTTCCTGACGGATAAAGGAGAAGTCTATTCTTGTGGCTGGGGTGCGGACGGGCAAACAGGTATTGTACCTTTCATCCGGGGTCAGTGCAGTATGGCGTTGTGAGCTGTAGGATTCTCACAGACTAGAACCCATCTTCCTTAATGTGACTCTTACCTCTCTTAAATGCTTCCTGGGGAACAGTCATCGTTTCTCCCGTCCCCGTCCCCATAGAAACGAATTATAAAGAATTGGATAGAGGATTGGAGCCACTCCGCAACAAAGGAGTTCTGAGCCTTGTAAAGAAACAAGTGCCGCCTAAAAGGAGCTCCATTTTAGCTGATTTCAGAAGAATATCATTAAGGGAGGAAGGAAGGAGGGATAAGCTTTCACACACTTTATATGTTTAATCTTTTTGTTTTTGAAATTTATCTGAAGGCAAGGCCTTTAAATTCAAGATTTAAGTCTTGTCTAAATCCTCAGTAATCCTACCACCGCCAAATTCTTTGTTCAGTCTCATGTTTTTTTCCAGTCCTTGTTCATATAAGTACAGCTTTTTATGTTGTAATGATAGCATTGGTGTGATTTTTATATCTTTGTTTTATCATTTAAATTTATACAAAATGGTTTTTCATGTTAATACAACTTTCACAGTTACGGCTCTATCTGAACCATTTTGAGATGTACAGTTCACTGATATTAAGTACGTCTGCATTGTTGTGCAACCCTCATCACCATCTATTTTCAGAACTGTTTCATCTTTTTAAGTTGAAACTTTATTATACCCATTAAACAGTAACTCCCCATTCTTTCCTCCTCCCAGCCCCTGGCAACTGCTGTTCTCCTTTCTGCCTCTATGAATTTGACCCTTGTTGGTGCATTATATAAGTGAATCATAAAGTATTTATTCTTTGTGTCACTAGCTTATTTACTTAGCATAATGTCTTCAAAGTTCATCCTTTGTGTAGCATCTGTCAGAATTTCCTTCCTTTTTAAATCTGGGTAATATTCCTTTGTATGTATATAACACATTACCAGTATACTTATCCATTCATCTGTTGATAAACACTTGGTTTGCTCCTACCTTTTATCTATTTGGAATAATGTTGCTGTGACCATAGGTGTACAAATATGCCTTTGAGACTTTGCTTTCAATTCTGGGTATATACCCAGAGTGGAATTGTTGGGTCACATGGTAATTCCAAGGAAACATTTTGAGGAACTGCCATACTGTTTTCCATAGTAGCTGTACCATTTTACGTTCCTACCAACAATGTATGAAGTTCTACTTTCTCCACATCCTCCCTAACATTTGTTATTTTTGTGTGTTTTTTGTTTGTTTGTTTTTTGTAATAGTGGCATCCTAATGGGTGTGAAGTGGTAATGATTTTAACATCTTTTCATATAGTTATTGCTTGCTTGCTTTGTATATTTTCTTTGAAGTAGGTAGTAATTTTTTAATTGGGTCATTTGTTTTTGTTGTGGTTGTTGAATTTGTTGTATATTCTGAACATTAATCTTTTATCAGATATTTGATTTTTAAAATTTTTTTCTTCCATTTTGCCTTTTTACTCTGTTGGTAGTATCTTTTGATGCCAGTATGACCCTGCTTTGAGCCCCCTGAAGCCAGGGTTTAGTGTTTGCCTCCCTGTGCTGCTCAGGGATTCCCCTCTACTGAGGTGCTGAAATGACATTGTCCTTCGGGCAAGCCCTTGTTGTCCTGTTGACTGCTTACCACGCCAGTTTGCCTGTTTCTGTTTACTTTTTTGGGTGGGTGAACTGGAGAGATTTCCTTTGTTTTACCAGCAAGCTCAGCAGTGCATTAGAAATTGCTCGTTTTAATATATGCAAGGTCTCATATGTTCATTGTATAGTAGGCTTTCATCTTGAGAACTTTTCTAACTTGAATTGGACCTAGAAAAGTTCAGGAGTTTTAATATGATCTAGTTACAATGATGCCTTTTTCTGCCTCTGGGAGAACATGGAAGTTGCCTGGCAGGCAGAGGAACAGATTAGGATTTTTGATATTTGTGAAGGGCTCAAATGTGTTGGCATATATTAAGTCTGTGTAAGGTGTAAGAGAATAACTCGGAGGTATTTTCTATTGTGTCAGGTCTGGGCCACTACAATATCACCAGTGTACCTACCAAGCTGGGAGGAGACCTTGCAGGAGTGAATGTGGTCCAGGTCTCCACCTACGGTGATTGTTGCCTGGCTGTGTCAGCTGATGGAGACCTCTTTGGTTGGGGCAACTCTGAGTACCTGCAGCTGGCCTCTGTCACGGACTCCACACAGGTATAAGGTTGCTTATAGCATGGTGCTGGGAGGTTTGTAAACATGGTGTGTTAAGGACCTTTCTAAGAGGTTTTTCACCAAAGTGTGATGTATAAAGTGCTAGAATGTTAAGACCTAACCCATGGTCGGCAAACCGTGACTTGTGCTGCAGTTTGCCATTCTGTTGACTAGTGAGTTTGCCAACCACTGCCTTAGGGAAAAACACTTAAAAAACATTTTAATAATCTACTAATGTCTTTAACCTGAAGTCAAAACTTCTGGGTAAGGGTAATGCCTTATGCGGTGGTCGGCAAACTCTAGTCATCAGAGCCGCAGTTTGCCGACCATTGACCTAATCTGTTGTAAGACTGCCTCTTCAAAGCTCTAAGTTCTTTTTTTTTCTTCTTTTTTTAAAATATATTTTATTGAGTTTTTACAGAGAGGAAGAGAGAGGGATAGAAAGTTAGGAACATCAATCAGCTTCCTCTTGCACACCCCCTTGCACACCCCCTACTGGGGATGTGCCCGAAACCAAGGTACATGCCCTTGATTGGAATTGAACCTGGGACCTTTCAGTCCACAGGCCGATGCTCTATCCACTGAGCCAAACTGGTTTTGGCTCTAAGTTTTTTTTTTTTTTTAAATACCTATATATAAAAAAAAAACCAGTGACTGTAACAGCGTAACGACAGAACTACCGGTCGCTATCATGCCCACTGTGGCCAGCAAACCTGCCTGATCGGGGGATGGGGCCGGCCGGCCAACCTTCTGCGGCCCCTCCTCCCAGCTGGCCCTGCACCAGATGGGCCCCACCACCCCTGATTGGCCCTCCCCCCTCCCCCTAGCCAGACCCACCCCCAACTGGCCTCCCCACTCTGACCAGGGGCAGGGCCAGCCAGCCAGCCACCCATGGCCCCTCCCCTGGGCTTCTAGCCCTCCATCAGCTCCCCCACACCACTTGGGGTTGGAGCTGTCCGGCCAACCTCCCAGGTCCCTCCCCCAGACACTGACCCCTGATTGGCCCCCCCTACCCCATTCAGGGGTGGGGCCTTCTGGCCCACTGTCCACAGCCCCTCCCCATGGCCAGTCCCACCCCCAATTGGCCCCCCAATTGGGGTGGGGCCTGCTGGCCAATCGCCCTCAGCCTTTTCCCCCTGTTGGCCGAGCCAACCAACCTCCTGCTGTCTCCTCCTCCCCACAGGCCCAGTTCCAATCCACTGATTGGGGCCAGGCTGGTTAGACCCCACACGTGCACAGATTTGTGCATGGGCCTCTAGTATACTACTATTTATATTGATTTCAGAGGGAGGGAGAGAGAAGCATCAATGATGAGAGAGAATCATTGTTTGCCTCCTGCATGCCCCCTATTGAGGATTGAGCCCTCAACCAGGGCATGTGCCCTGACCAGGAATTGAACTGTGACCTCCTGGTTCATAGGTTGACACTCAACCACTGAGCCACACCAGCCGGGTAAGGTTCCAAGTTCTTGACAATTTCATTGGCATTCAGAAAGAAAGCTTAAGTGCAAAAGCCTTTTTTTTTTTTTTAAATCAGTACTTTGATGAGATAGTTCTGGTTTAGGGCAGTATTTGAGGCATGCCAGGATAATGAGGCTATTTACCTAAATTCCTATGCTGTCACACTGTTGTTGCTTTTTGTTGCTGTGTAACATATGCCCCAAAGCATACAGATCATGTGCATGCAGCTCGATTAAGACAGCTGTGCAGCTCCACCTAGGTCAAGTAGTAGAATACTAGCAGCCCTTCTGAAGCCATGCCCGCAGCCTCTCCTCACCACTAGCCCGTCCTCACTGAAGCCAGCCACCATGATTCCACTACAGTAGAATTTCAAATGTTTTATTAAGGAAAAATTCAAATTTAAACAAAAAATAGAGCTCATTGCATAATTAATCTTTACCTATTACCCATGTTCAACAATTACCAACTAATGCCCATTTAAAAAATTGAGATATAATTCACAATTTTTAAATATATAATTTAGTGGTTTTTAGTATAGTCACAGGATGTCTAACTATCACCACTATCTAATTCCAGACATTTTCATTAACTTCATCTATCCCCTTAACACCCCCCCCCCCCAAAAAAAAAAAGCCCATACTCCTTAAGGGACAAATTTTCTTGCATCTGTAATTCCATCTACTCTATCCTGGATTATTTTGAAGGAAATCCTAGGTGTCATATTAGGTCTAGTAATAATTAATGTCGTTTTCTAATACTTTTTAAAATCGAATTTATTTAAACAATACAACAAAATTTAATCAACAATATAGTTGCCGTTGTTTTCTACTACTTGTGCCCAACGCTCAGGAAGCATTTTAATCCCTCTGTTGTAAAATTCTTGTGATTTTGATGCAAAAAATTCGGTCAATGCATTTTTGAGGCATTCTTCATTATTAAATTTTTTTCCAAGAAGAAAGTTTTGCAGAGAATGAAACAAATGGTAATCGGAAGGGGCAATATCAGGAGAATATGCAGGTTGAGGGAGAACTTCCCATTCCAACTGGCGTAGTTTTTCAGCAGTGATTCTTGCAGTATGTGGTCGTGCGTTATCGTGGTGAAGAATTACGCCCTTCTGATTAATCAGCATGGGTTCTTTTTCTCTTGAAGCTTGGGCTAACCTTTCCAATTGGGCACTATACACTGCACTTGTAATGGTTTGGTTAGATGGTAAAAGTTCATAATGAAGAATTCCTTTAAAATTCCACCAAACACACAACATCACTTTTTTTGCATGCAAGTCAGGTTTTGGCGTGGGCTGCGGAGCCTCATTTTTGTCCAACCATTGAGGCCGCCTTTTCAAATTAACATACAGCACCCATTCTTCATCTCTGGTAACAATTTGCTCTAAAAACGGCAAACGGTCTTGACAAGAGAGGAGCGAACTGCAAATTGTGACTCTTTGATTACGGTTGTTGTCGGTCAACTCATGAGGAACCCATTTTCCAAACTTTTGGACTTTGCCAAGTGCACGCAATTGATTGGAAATTGTTTTTTGTGAACAATTTAAAGTTGTCGCAAGCTCTTGTTGGGTAATTTGAGGATTTTGCACCAAAAGAGCTTGAAGAGCTTCTTGATCAAAATTGGACACACGGCCTCAACCACTCTTGTCATCTAACGAAAAATTTCCCTCGCGAAATTTCTCAAACCAACGCTGGCATTTTCTGGCGCTAACTGCATCTTGACCAAGAGCACTACAGATGTTTTTTGCAGCCTCACTTGCTTTTCTTCCTAATTGGAACTCGTAAAGCGTGCAGTGCCGAATATGCTCTTCATCCGCCATCTTCTTAGCCCTAGTTTTGCAACAAAAACCAAACCAAAAACAAACTTTTTCAAGCAAAACTTGTTAATTGCACTTCACACGTTCTGTAGATACCACGTGTCTGAAGGTTATGTCAATACAAGTCAACGCCCAGCAAGATTTTAAATGTTAAAAACGACATTAATTATTACTAGACCGATATTTCTTTTATAGAAGTTTCAGTATGTATCTCTAAAAGATAAGAACTATTTAAAAAACATACTACATTCTTTAATATTAAACTTTTGACAAATACAGAAGTTTGTGTTTTTTTCTTCAGGAAGGGTTTTAAATATATGTTAATGATAAACTTGCACAAAGGAAAACTAAGATCAGCTAATAGGTGAAAAAATGCATGCTCTGTGGTCTGGCTCAGTGGCTAGAAGTGGTTTCAGATTTGGCTCTGAGTTTCCTAGTAGCCAAAGCAAAGAGAAAATGGTCATTGAAATGATTCATTGTTTCTGTAAAATAAATAGCAAATAAAGTGTTCAAGAGAAGTACTGCTCTTCCTAATGCCAAGGCCTGAGAAAAATGTCCCCCTTCCTGTGGGGACAGGTCCAGTGTCCTGTCATTGTTACATATTGCTGCATAACAAATGACCCCGAAACTTAGTGGCTTAAAACAACACACATTTATTATCTCACAGTTTCTGTGGGTCAGGAATCTTGGGGTGGCTTAGCTGGGCCTTCTGGCTCTGAGTCTTTCAAAAGCTGCAGTCATCTTAGGGGGAGGCTCTGCGTTCCGGACCACACTGGGGTTGCTGGCAAAATGCAGATCCTTGTGGACTATTGGACTGTGGCCTCACTTCCTTGCTGGCAGCCAGCCAGCTCATAGTTATTGGCCAAGCCTCCCATGTTCCCTGCCACGTAGGCTTTTCCATGTAGTAACTCACAACATGGCACCTGGCTTCATCAGAGTGAGCAAATGAGAATGCAAGAGCGAGTGCCAGTGAGACATAAGCCCGTGTTTTATCACTTAATCTTAGCAGTGACTTTCCCTCACTAATGCTGGTATTCTGCTCCTTAGAAACGAGTCAGGCCCTAGCCAGTTTGGCTCAGTAGATAGATTGTCGGCCTGTGGACTAAAGGGTCCCAGGTTTGATTCTGGTCAAGGGCACATGCCAGGGTTGCAGGCTCAGTCTCCAGTGGGCGTGCAGGAGGCAGCCGATCAGTGATTCTCTCTCATGATGTTTCTATCTCTTCCTCTTCCTCTCTGGAAAAAAAAAAAAAAAAAAAAAAGGAAAAAGAAGCAAGTCAGTAGGTCCAGCCCTGACACAGGGCAGGGATTACACATGGGTGCGAATAGGAGGGGACTGGGATTATTAGGGGTCATCTGAGAAGTAGCCCATCACAACCAAGATTCTTTACTGTGGTCTGAACCTCATCCTGTCAATGACAACAGGGGTTTGTTTCCAGTGGCGCTGCGAGAGCATTTCTCAGTGCTTGCTGAGGGCCCTGTGCCAGAGCACAGTGAGGTAAAGAGGCTTTCTATGAGCCAAGAAGCAGAGGCCCGGCCCCATCCCTTACAGCCCCACTTTATCTAGGCATACGTTTTCTGGATTGTAAGTCCCTTTATTCCTCTGGAGTCAGCTTAGGGACTGTTATCTTCCAGCTATTTCCGTTTGAAAGTGAATCTATGAAGATTCGTGGCTATCACTGAAGCACTTACAATCTGTCTTTCCAAAGTTATTTCTTAGTAGAGGCGCCAAGACCAAATCCTGCTGGAAGGCTAAGCTGGCCACATTTCACTCTCCAAACCCCTGACCCTCCCATCTCACTCTCAGCAGACCTTGCCTCCTGTTTAATAGAGAAAGCAGATGCTATTGGACGAGAATGCCCTCAGTATGTACATGAGCCAGAGTGCTATGGCTCACATACACGTACCTGTGTCTGCACCCACCCTGGGCCCATTCCTTTTCCAGTGGTGGAGGAGGTGTATTTCTTCCTGCTGAGGCTGCTCTTCTCTCTCTGCCCTGGATCCCATCGCCTTCCACCTTTTCAGGAGCCGTCCTCTATCTGCTGGGCCTTCTTTCCCAAAACTTGAACCTGACGTTCTCTGCTGGTGCCTCCATCAGTCTTTTCACCTGACTCGTATATCTTCCATCTTAAAGCCCTAAGTGGCTCCTCCATCTCCTTCCATTCTCCCCACCCTACCCCTTAGCTTTACCTCCTGCTTCTCAGGAGCCACACTGACTTATTGTCAGTCCATTCCACTTAGTTTCCACCCTTATGAATTTTGCTGGATGGCTCTTGATAGGGATACGAATGACATCCATGTTGCTAAGAATAATAATAAAGAATCTAGAGAACATTTTCACTCTGTATCTTTCTTGACCTCTTAGCAGCATTTGACATTGACAATGACATCTTTGTGAAAACCATTTTTCTTTTTGCCCTATGGGTAGACTCTTCTAGTGTTCTCTCAACTTTCTCGGTGTCACTTCCTGGTCTCATTAAAAAAAAAAAAAAAAAAAAAAAAAAAAATATATATATATATATATATATATATATATATATATATATATATTCTTTTATTATTGACTTCAGAGAGGAAGGGAGAGGGAGGGAGAAAGAAACATCAATGATGAGAGAGAATCATTGATCGGCTGCCTCCTGCATACCCCACACTGGGGATCGAGCACACAACTGGGGCATGTACCCGGACTGAGAATTGAACAGTCCTTGTAGTTCATAGGCCAAAGCTCAACCACTGAGCCATGCGGACCAGGGTCTTCTTGGTCTCATTTACTGGATCTCTTCTTGTGCCAGGCTTTTAAATGTGGAAGATCCTCATGGTGTGGATTTTGCTTTTTCCCCCCTCCATATTCCCTCTTTAGAAGATCCTAGCATACCCTTGCCTGCACTTAGCATCTATATGCTTACACCTCAGAGTTTCAGACATCACTAAGCATTACTTGACATTTCCACTTGAACGTCTCTAAACACTGAGTTCAATACATTCAAGAGTGAACTCATGCTCCTCCCCACACTCTGGTCCTTCTCCATTGTTACCTACGTCCATGATGTTCCTTCCCCTCTAGAAGTTCCATAGCATCCTGCAAAATCCGGGTGCCCTCTCTCCACTGGCTTCTTGTACTATGACCCTTCCCCCCCCCCCCCCCCCCCCCCCCCGCCTGTTTCTCTGCTTTAGCCACTCTGACCTTGTTTAACCTCCCTGAATATGCCATGCTCACTTTATTCCCTTTACACATCCCTATTAGGAATGTCCTGTTCTTCTCCCCTCGCCTAGTTACCTCTACTCATCCTTCAGGTAGCAGGAGAAAAATGAAGCCTTCCTGACTGCTACTCCCCCCAAACTCAGTCTCCCTCACGTTCATTCTCAGAGACCATGTATTTTCCTTCATTGCATTGAGCACAAATGAATTTTATCTTAATTTAGGCTGGCAGCTAAATTAGGAGACTAGGAGAGGACCAGGTGTCTTGTTCCCCTCATTCCCAATACCCAGTTAGATAGTTAGCATATGTTCAATGTTTGGGAAATATTTGTGGCATGGATAAATGAACTGGGACTTATGTACTCTGTACACAAGACCAGATTATTTCCAAGTCCGCTGGTTTGTCTTCCTAACAGTGTGGGCCCTTCCTTTGATTTAGGTGAACGTCCCCCGGTGCCTTCCCTTCTCCGGAGTGGGCAGGGTGAAGCAGGCTGTGTGCGGTGGCACTGGCTGTGCTGCGTTAAATGGTGAGACCCTCCTGCAGAGTCACTGGGCAGCTATCGGTGGGTTGCACAGCGGAAGGTCGGTGTCCATTGGACTCACAGGCAGCAGACCTTGGCCTGAGGAAGGGAGTGTGGCTGGGGGCAGATCTAGTTAGATTGAGTTCAGCTAATAGAGGGTGCGGTGATATTCTTGACAGAGATAATAGCCGTGATATGTAAGTAGACAGCACAGAGCTTAATAATTCTGTAGCAGCCCTCTGAAGTGGGGAGTGAACTTTCTCCCTGCCCCGTAGCCTGGGCCAGAGACTCCAGCTCTGCCTTCTCCAGGGAGGCTGCCAGGACAGGAAACAAGGCAGAGAGAACAGCCTTAGGGTTTAGATACTGAGATCCACGCCTCTCGGATTAAACATCTGGTATCACTGATGAGTATTAAACTTTTTATTACCAAAAAATCATTTCTAGAGTTTTAGGACTCTGCCCAAAAGTTGTTTAGTTACTTGGCTTGGTCTTCTGATCACTGTGAGACATAGAGTTGTTGTGAAAAACTGTCCTTTGAGGGCTCTCCAGTGTTCATGTGGGGTTTCTGGGTGATTTATAAATGGGTCCTGTCCAGATTACCTTCAGGATGTGGGAAATTTGTATTCTGAGATTGGTGAGCTGGCTAGACATACTCCACAAACACGGATTTGAAAGAGGAGAAAAGAAACATTAAATATCTGTCAGCATGTTCTTGCCAAGCAAGGAGGGGAAAATGCATGTGGATGTAATGCTTCTTAGTGGTGCAGTTTGAATTTCTAGTGAGCGGGGGCTGCTCTTGGTTTGACTTACTGACCGTTGTTTTTCCTGTAATGTAGGAGAAGGACGTGTTTTTGTCTGGGGCTATGGAATTCTTGGGAAAGGACCAAACCTAGTGGAAACTGCTCTTCCAGAAATGGTTCCACCCTCTCTCTTCGGCTTAACGGAGTTCAACCCCGAAGTCCAGGTTTCCCGAATTCGATGTGGACTCAGCCACTTTGCTGCCCTTACTAGTAAGTGACCAAGCCATGCGGCCCCGGAGACCGACAGAGCTTCACTCTCAGGTTCAACCCCAGTCTGTGGGCAGCTCTGTTTCCATCCATCCAGTGGCGCGGTACCCTTGTATGGATAATTAGAGAGAGCGGCTAATCCAGAAGTTGTTTGGCTTGGGGTTGTATAATGTGTATCTGTTTTTCATCCTGGAGTTTTATCTTGGTTCATTTGGTTTGTGGTTAGGCTAATGTGAAAGTGAATTTTCTCAAGAGGATACCAATTGGTGGTCTGAGAGGGGGACCCTTGAGTGTGTTGGGGTGTGGAGGAAAACCAGCAGAGGTTTGGCAAATCCATGGTAGGTAATTAGTAAATGAATGTGTGGGGCTTAATCCCACTGCCTGACCAAGCCCAAACCCCAATCTGACCCAGGAACGTGGGATGGCAAGGAGCAGATGTGTAAGACTGTCCGTGGTTTCGTGGAAGTAAATCTGCCCAATTTCTCCAAAGTGCTGGGGGAGAGAATGATCAAAGGGAAGGCTGAAACGGAGACGTTTGCAAAGGTTTGCCAAATGACACAGCCATAACATATCCAGTTACTCTGCAGACTTCTAGAGTGTGTGCTTTTCTTGATTACATCTCCTGTTCCACCGCAGTGACTGTTGGTTCAATTTGTTCCTCTTTAGTTGACTTGAATCATCAGACTGTATTAATTTCATTTCATTTTGTGATTCTCAAGCAGATTCCCTATTTCCTTGTCTCATGGTAAGTAATTGGTTGTTTTTTTTAAACATCTGGCTGGGACAGTCAGTTCGGGTCATTCTTGTTTGTGTGCTCTGGCCCCACGCTATGTGAGGACTGCTCCAGATGATCACCATTTGGAATTGTCGGAGCTCCAGGCTTTGGGGCTTCAGTGCGGACGTTGGGGCTAGTGGTCGAAGTCTTGCCCGACTGTGTGTATTAAAGCACCAGGTGGCAGCAGCGCTGATGGGTGAAGGATCCGTTACTGCCCCTCAGGCAGAGTCAGCCACTTCTATTTGCAAATGAACCTAGTTCCTGTGAGTTTTTTTTTAAAGCTACTTCAACTTAGTAAGAGTCATTGTGGACTAATTCTGGAGGTGTCAGTGATCTATTTTCCAGATTGTTCTAAGGCTTACACTATGTTCGAAGCCACATACTTGGAAACCCACATGAAGTGACTGTTTTCTGTTTGGTGTAACCCGTGTGGCCATTTTGGGTCACACTGAAATGAAATCCCCTATAAAGCTTCCCCCCAAGTGCCAGTTACTGTCCTTCAGTAGAGAGAGCATCAGAGTTTGTGTTTCTCCCCTGACTGTGTGCCCAGCGTTTGCATATGACCAGCTGGGAGTTGGGATTGGTTGGTTTACCCTGAAGTCTTAACAGTTTGGGACCAGACTGAATTGTTCTGTTAAACACGTAAAATCTGAGGCTGGAGGACCAAGGGTGTTGGACAGACCAGAGGAGCTCTGACAGCTTGTAACGAAAGGATTCCTTATTTAACCAGCCCAGATTATTTTAGTCCTGGCTTTCCCATGCCTTTTCTACTTCTGCTTGCCAGATGTGGGGGAGCTAAATAGGGCCGCTGGGCCAGGGAGTGCCCATAGCTGATGGGGATGGAAGTCAGCACTGAGCTGTGGGAGGCTGCCCTGCCATGTCTGGGCCCTCTCCCGGAGGTTGCAGTCCCCTGGGCTTTCTCTGTAACAGCCTCTCGGTCCTTTTCCTTGTTGGTACTGTCAGTGGGTGAGCATGTGTTTATTGGTTTGATCATTTATCTCTAACTGTTCAACTAGTCCCATGAGGACAGGAACCAAGCATGTGTAGTCACTGTCCTAGCCCTGGCCCATAGAGGTACCCAGTCACCATTGTCGCTTGACTGAATATTCCTGGCATGTGGAAACCCAGACAAGGAATGGCAGTCATCCTTTGAGGATGCTCGTATTTCAGGACATAGTTGTTTGTGTGAGAGCCCCTCCCCCCCCTGGGGTGCTAGCTGAGAGGTCTGTGCGGAGCCTCCTTGGCCCTCTGCTCCACGCACATACGCGTCTCCCACCCGATGGACACTGTGAACCTGGCTGGGACATGGTTTGGTATGGGGCAGCATACTTTCCCTTCAAGAGGAAGCATTTCTTGTCTGGTAGAAGTTGAAGTTTAACATTGGACTCTGTACCAGGTTCTGGAACGCCTGTTCTCATGATCCTTCCTCTTGGAGACTTGCCCTTGGCCTAGTCCCAACCAAGCCACCATTTTCCTTTCTTTGCAGACAAAGGAGAGCTGTTTGTTTGGGGCAAAAACATCCGAGGCTGCCTGGGAATTGGCCGCATGGAAGACCAGTATTTCCCATGGAGGGTAAGACTGGGTTGGGCGGGTTTGCGGGCAGGCCCAGAGGGCAGATTCACCTGATGTGGTAGCAATGCCCAGCACCGGGTCGCCAGGACTGCCTCCCCCACTTCCGGGTCCCAGCTGCCCTCCTCCTGCTCTGTGACATCTGGTGAGGCCGCTCAGGTGAGGGTCCAGAGCCAGCGCCCAGCACCAACTTTTCTGGCTGTGGGCTCATTGCCTTTGCTCTTTCCTGTGGCCTGTTGAGTGAGCAGTGGGAGGAATGGCCTGTGTGGGTCCACCCCTTGGTGCTCTGTAAGAGCCTCCTCGGAGGCTGTCCTTGGGGATGTGGAGCAGGAAACAGAAGCACGCCTCAGAGGAGCAAGCTGCAGGCCGGGTGCCGGGGGCTCTGATGCTGACAGGGAGAGGTTTGAAATGGAGAAGTTGGCATTCCAGGGGCTGTTTGCAGAGGCCTGTGCCGAGGAATGTTTACAGTGAATTTAAAAGAAAGCCGGATGTTTAATATTTAGAATGCCTTACCACAGGCACCAAAGTGAAAAAATGAAGGTTTTTCTTAGGGGGAGGATGCAATTAGACAAAAAGACTCATTTGAAAATTAAAGGAGAAAAAGTTCTTTCTTCAATTGTAGTTTATCTTAGTGTTGTTTACTAGGTTTTTTAAATTCTAAAAAAAGCTACTTTTTTGAATACAGAACATATGTCCTTGTTCAGAGTGAGGTATGAAAGATCAGTTTCCCATGTCTTACCCCAGAGGCAGCCACCAGAATTGGTGTCTGCTGTTCCCTCCAGAGACAGGCGCTGCTGCCTATGGAAGTGCGTGCGTACGCGTGCATGCGCGAGCAGCACATGTCTAAGTATTTAACAAGTTTGATTTTGGTAATGTGCTTTGAAATTGTGTAAAGTATCTTTTGAAAGCACATGTAAAAATGCAAAAGGAGTGAAGTAAGGTTTGTCCAGAACTCGCTGCAGAATGTTTTGCGGCTCTTTGTTACTTTAGGGGCTCATTTCCACAGTCCCCTCCTTGGCTGCCGCCTCTCCTGTCCCTGAGAGCTTGGCAGGCTCTGGCTCCTTTATAAAGAGCAGGTGCGGTTTCTAAGAGGACAGGCCAAAACAGAGACTTTACACTTGTTAGGAAACTGGTGTGGCCCAGAGTTGTCCCTGAGGTGGCTGGGGCTCCCTCTCGTTCCCTGAGCTAGGAAATGCCATCATGTGTGAGGAATGGAGAGGCAGGTGACGGGCAGTGGATGGTACCGCAGGTAATGGAATACCGATAATGTGATTTAAACACCTACTTTTTTTCCTGGTAGTTCCTTACTGTCCTCTCTCGAACCCCACCTTCCTGCGGGGAGGCATAGGAAACAGGAAAGCACCTGGGGTTTGGGCGAATGACTGCTGGGATGAGGGGCTCCTCCCCTGCCTCCACTTCCTCCAGGTCAGAGTGAAGATGTAGGACAGCCCTAAACTGAGACTGAAATCTAGCATGTTCCTTACTGAGATGGCTGGGCAAGGCCTCGGGCCGGCAGTGAAGCTGGAAGGAGCAGGCTGCTAGGGCGGACACCACTGCCACTCAGACCAGACACCCCTTCATTGACTCATCACCCATCAAACCTCCCTTTGGGACTGTCATTCTCTGCATCTGTACCATCAGCAAAAGGACACGTGGCTCCTTTCTTGCCAAACCGTCGTCCTCCTCCTTGTACATTTGTTGAGCCCTGTTTGTGGATGGGTTAAGGAGAGAGCTTGAAGAATGGTGATGAGATAAGAGTGGCTTTCCACTCTGCAAGCTTGAGGTGCAAGGCTGAGGCTTGGGACAAAGGTGGTGGCAGGAACCAGGTTTTGGATCAACCAAGCTGGATTCCTTAAATATTCAATTTGACTGTTGTTGGGTAGCTGGACCTTGCTCCTGTCTCTCCTCTTGTATTCACTTAGAAAAAAAATTACAGGATATTTTTAATCTTTAATACACTGAACTTTGTTATTAATCTTCAGATGGGGCTGTGTAACATCATTTAAAAAGTATTCCAAGAAAGAAAAAGAAAGTAAAGTTTTATTTATAGCTCCTACAAGGCACTAATTGTTCTTGGACTCCCAGAACCTGGGCTTCCCTCAGTTTGTAGGCCCATGTAGTGACATCAGAGCCACCTGATTTAAACCTTGCGAAGCTTTCCAGGATGTTTTCCTGCTGCAGGCTGTGCTGCCCCTTCTGGTCAGTACCAGGTTGAGTTTGGGAGCACAGGCTGGGAAGTCCTCTGCCTGAAGGCCGCCTTCTCTTATGGCCGCCTCGGGGGAGAGGTGCGCTGTGGCAGCTGGGTGCTCTGGGGCAGTGTCTCCTTGCCGGTTGAGCTCCTTTCCTTTCTCAGCTGCTCGCTTATGCCAAGAAGGAATTTTCAGAAGCAGCCAAGTGGGGAACAGCAAGTCTGCTGGGCCCGGCCACTGCCCAGGGTCAGTGCCCTCCGCCTTCCTGTCTTTCACCGGCTGGGCGCTTGTTTTAGGAACATGTCATTGTGGGGAGAGATGTTGCTAAACTGAGTTCGCTCAAACTTTTCCCTCACTTAGGCTAAAGGTGCTTTTGGTTTTTCGAACTGTTTCCATTTGCAGTAATGTTTTGAGTGTAAACTGGTTTAGAATAGAAGCTCCTTTTAACCTTGACAAGGGCAAAAATAAAAGATGGCTGAGGGCATTCTTCTTCTGGACTCGGTTCAGAGACAGACTGCGAGTGACTGCTTACCATTGAGCCACCGAGAGGTGAGCCTCCGAGGCCAGGCCACAGTCCCGGCGAGTAAACAAGACCAGTGGTCTGCTCTGCATTGTAACCAATGGCCAGAGCACTGGGGGAACAAGGACAGAGGTGCGTGAATGCAGCAGCGGGGCTGCAGGTTAGTGTGGAGAGGGTACTTCCCCGCCCACAGCGGTCAGGGAGATGTGCGCTAATGGCCTGGGGTTGCTAAGAGTTCACCTGGGCCCGGTCACCACAGAGGCATTGCCTGGCCAGCCTGGAATGCTTTCCGCATCTGCGAGCCTTTGCGATGAGCTGGGCACTGCTGCTTGTTTGTTTAGTGATTTCTCTAATAGGCTTTGCCAAAGACGTTTGTTTAGGGAGGGGAGGTGGGAAGCACAACATGGTTACTAGCGTCCGTTTGTTTGTGGCCAGGAGCCCTAATGGACTTGTCTCCCCACGCTACAGGCGCCAAGCTGCAGGGTCGGCACTGCCGCCTCTGGGCTTTTAGGCCAGGCCATCTGGAGTAGGCCTTTCCCTCTTATGCCCAGTAAACTCCACAGGCTGTTACAGATCCCCTTTCCAGCTGTCACACTGCCCACCCCGCCAGGATGGCGGGATTCGGATCTGGTCAGAAAAGCAGCGTGGTGTCGTAGCTGAGGAGTAAGTGGTACAGGTGCAGTCTTAAAACTTGCCATCTCGCTGAAACCGGTTTGGTTCAGTGGATAGAGCGTCGGCCTGCGGACGAAAGGTCCCGGGTTCGATTTCTGTCAAGGGCATGTACCTTGGTTGCAGGCACATCCCCGGCAGGGGGTGTGCAGGAGGCAGCTGATTGATGATTCTCTCTCATCGATGTTTCTAACTCTCTATCCCTCTCTCTTCCTCTGTAAAAAAAATCAATAAATGTGGCATTTGCTTCTCATTGCACCAAGAACCTCTGGAAGGACAATTAGAAACCAATCAAAAGTGGTTTCCACATCAGGGAAGGTTAGGGAATGAGGCAGATCATAGTGGTAGTAAAAGGTACTTAATGTCTTTTTATTCTTTTTCATTAAATGTTATTTTATATTGTAGCTATGTGAATGTATTTCCTATTAAAAATAATAATAGAAAAGTGCCCCTTTTCCGGAGAACTGGGGTGGCCATGTGGGTATGGAAGTCCTTGATTAGTGCCACCCATTTCCAAGGCCAGGCTGTGAACAATGAGTCATTTTAAAGGAAAACAGGAAAGATATGTACACATATAATACCTTAATTAAAAAAAAAAAAAAAGCTGAAACCAGTTTGGCTCAGTGGATAGAGCATCCGTCTGCGGACTGAAAGGTCCCAGGTTCAATTCCGGTCAAGGGCATGTACCTTGGTTGCGGGCATATCCCCCGTGCGGGGTGTGCAGAGGGCGGCTGGTCCATGTTTCTCTCTCATCGATGTTTCTAGCTCTCTATCCCTCTCTCTTCCTCCCTGTAAAAATACAATTAAAAAAAAAAAAAAAAAGGCAAACAGGCAGGACCTGGCCAGTGTAGCTAAGTGGTTTGAGTGTTAGCCTATGCACCAAAGGGTTGCAGTTTAATTCCCGGTCAAGGGCACATACCTGGATTGCAGGTTCCATGTTGCACATGTGGGAGGCAGCCAATTGATGTCTCTCTCACATCAATGTTTCCCCCTCTCTCTCCCCTAATCCCCCTCCTTCCCTTCTACTCTCTAAAACAAAATCAATAGAAAAAATATCCTTGGGTAAGGATGAACCAAAATAGAGACAAATGGAAGCCTCCATATCCCAGGAGGCTGCTGTTTTGAGAGTTGGGCCTTCCTGTGATGGTGTTGTCAGCGTGGATGGGCAGTGTCGGCAGGACTGCTGGCCAGGCCTTGGGCACCTTCTGAGACACAGCTTCCCTTCTCAAGAGTGACAGGACTCAATGAGGCTAGAGCTGGAGGCAAAGTGGGTAAGGACCCGGGGCCAGGGGCCTGGTCCCAAAGGGGACCAGAGAGCAGGAGAAAGGGTTTTTTCAGGCACTCGAGTGAGCCACGTGGTGACCACTAGGAAAGGTACTGAACACTTGGCTGGAGGCAAGTGTTGCCCTCTGGTGGGGTCATACTCACAGGGGACTAACCTCTCTGTGGGATGTCACTCAGGGTTCGTGCTTGTGCCAAGTGGCCTCTTGGGGGCTGGACAGTAACGCCCACTGCTGACCGGGTGGGGAGTTGGGATGGCCCTTTCCTTGGTGATTGCATTTGCTCGCCCAGCAGACCTGCCAGGTACGTTGTAGATGTCCCCATTTATCACCCAGAGGAGGGAGCCAAGGCTCAGAGGCTAAGTCACCTACTAAGATGCAGGGCCCGGATCAGGCCCAGCTGGGGCCACCAAGCCTGTCCCCCAGTTGGCCATTCCCCTCATCGTGTGCTGGCTCTTGTTTTTCAGGTGACAATGCCGGGGGAGCCCGTGGATGTGGCCTGTGGTGTGGATCACATGGTGACTCTGGCCAAATCATTCATCTGAATCTCTGCTGACCCAGGTGAGCCTGCCCTGGCCTCAGAACCACTGGATTGCTCAGCAGAGGCAGCCAGCGGGGTTCTGATGGGGCTCAGAGGGGACCAGAGCCCCCCATGAAGTGTGACTCTCTCTCCTAAGCCCTTGGGAGGTGCAAACTGAAGTCCGGAGACATGGTGCCCGCTCTGGTGAGACCTGCCAATGCAGCACATCACGGCCCTTTGTCGGGCTGGTCTGCAGGAAGACGGCCCAGGGCTGTGCGGCCAGCATGGAGAGGATCTTTACAATGTCCTGGCTCTTTCCTGGGAGCACAGGACGGCCTCTGGTGTCACGTCTGGCCCAAGAAACTGGTCTTAAGAAATCTTCCCTCATGATGTGCATTTTGTCTGATATTGAAAGGAGATTGACAGCACAGTGCTCAGGAGGCTTCTGCAGAGCTGTGGTGAGTGTGCGTGTGCGTGTGTGTTTGCGAGTGCCCAGCCTGACTGCAGGACCCGGGCTTGCTTTGGCCTAGGGTTTTCATTCAGGTCCCTCCGCCCAAAGTGGACCCTGAAAGCCAGCTTGCTGGTGGGACACATGCAGAAATCCTTTGCTTGGATTGGGGTTCTCCCTGAAAAGACAATGGGCACCAGCTCAGCACCCCATGGGCTCCTGGCTGTCAGCACCTCGTAACCATTCTCACAGCCTGGCTGGGAGAAGTGGAGGAGCCACCAGGGAAGATCGAGGCCAGATTCCTGGGGCTGAGGGCTCTGAACATCCCGCCAAAGCTGGCTGCAGTGCCAGTCTTGGAGAAGAGTCAGAAGTTGTGGAAAACAAAGTAATGTCTTATTCTTTAAAAAGATCTTTTGGAATAAAGTCTATTTTCTGCATTTTTTATTCTTAAGAGCTGGAGAGGTCTTTTATTTTACTTGATCATTTATAGAGATTAGCTTTCAAAAACAAGGCATTTGATAGAGGCTACTAAATGCCAGTTTAACCATGCAGTCTGCTGGGGGACATACCCTCTCAGATGGTCTTTGTTGTAGCACCCAGCACTGGTCCCCACGAGGCAGCCTTCACCCCAGGACCTGTCCTACCCTGCGATGAGACCCCAGGGGCTTAACCCTTCTCCAAGCCCCAAACAACTAATGAATGAATAAGTGGAACAAATTGATGTTTCTCTCCCTCCCTCTCTCAAATCAATGAATAAATTAGAAATCCCAGTCCTACTTGGTTTGGTTCAGTGGGTAGAGCCAAAGGACTGAAGGGTCCTGGTTTTGATTCCGGTCAAGGGCACCTACCTCAGTTGCAGTCTCAATCCCAGGCCAAGTTGGTGCGTGTGAGGGAGGCAACCAGTCAGTGTGTCTCTCACATGGATGCTTCTCTGTCTCTCCCCCTCCCACACTCTCTCAAAATCAATGGAGCCGGCTGTTGTGGCTCTCCGGATGAGCATCAACGTACGAACTAGGAGGTCACACACAGTTCGATTCCCGATCAGGGCACATGTCTGTGTTGTGGGCTCAGTCTTGGTAGGGGGCATGCAGGATGCAGCCAATCAATCATTGATGTTTCTGTCTCTCCCTCTACTTCCCCCGAAAAAAAAAAAAAAGAAAAAAAAAAAGGAAAAATATTCTTAGGTGAGTATTAAACAAAAAATTCCAGGCCTGTATGGTTCAGTGGTTAACCTGTGCACCAAAGGGTTGTGGGCTTATCAGTTAAGGGCACTTACCTGGGTTGCAGGTTTGATCCCTGGCCCAGTTGGGGTGAGTGCAAAAGGCAACCAATATCTATCTCTCTCCCTCTCTCCCCCTCCTCTCCCCTTTTACTCTAAAAATCAATGGGGGGAGGGTGAGAATCAATGGAGCTGGTGACCCAGATGAATCTGATGTCTGGGCCTGAGCTCCACAGTAGCCAGAGCTTCCTTGGGCTCAGGTGCACGGGTGCTCCAGCCCCCATCTCCACTCCCTTCTCCAGTGCTCTTCTGTAGGGGAGGTAGGTGAGAATGGGTCAGTGGGCCGAGGGCCCGGCAGCATGGCTCAGTGGTTGAGTGTCAACCTATGAACCAGGAGGTCACAGTTTGATTCCTGGTCGGGCATTGCGTGGGTTATGGGCTCAATCCCCAATTCACTGTGCAGGAGGCAGCCAATCAGTGGTTCTCTCTCATTGATGTTTCTCTCTCTTCCTCTCCTTTCCTCTCTGAAATCAATAAAAAAATATTTTAAAAAATATAACCTTGGGTGAGGATTAACATCAACAACATCCTGGCCTTTCACACAAGCCTTGCTATTGAACATGGAGCAGCAGCAGCCGAGGTTAAACTTGAGCCGGAGACCATGTCGGAGCACTAGCTGTGCTTTTCTCAGATCTTGGGCCACACGGAGGTGCATGCTCAGCAGTCAAGTTTAAAAGGATAAATCCAGACTGGTGTCACCTCCTCACACCAGGCATTGATGTGTTGCTAGAAAGGCCGGCAGGTGGGCTGAAGCTGGTGGTGGGGAGGCTGCCCCTGCGGGAGCAGAGAAATATCTTCTATCCCATGGGAAGCACAATGCAGCTGAGGTGCCAGGCGACCAGGGAACACGGGCCATGACCATCAGACAATGCCCGGTTGGAGTCCACCGTGGAGCTGGAAACAAGTTCAGATTCATGGCCTTAGGATGTCCCACAGCTGCAGCTGTCGACCCACATTGCACGTGAGAATACTGCGGGTGACGCAGAGGCCTGAGGGGAATGTCTCCGTGCCCCTGGGCACCCACCGCACTCCAGGCCCTGCCAGTGCCGGGACGCAGTGGTGAGGAGGGGTCTGTTCCAGCATGTGCGTCTGGGGCCTGGCTGCCCCTGGTCGACCTCCAAGTGAGGCCACCTGCCCCCGGAGCTGCCCAGGACGGGGAGTTCATGACAGCCGTGGGCAGACTGTACCTTCACCCCGGCTTCTCAACCCCTGGCTGGACCAGGGGGGTCCTCTGAGGAGGCTCTTTTTCTTTCTTTTTGATGTACCACATTGGTTACTCACTCACCAGCTGATGAATATGTCGGCTGGTTCCACTTCTGTGCTATTGTGAATAATGCCAACACATTCATGTGTCAGTTTTATGTTGGCCCAGCTGGTGTTTTTTTTGTTTTTAACATTTCCACACAAACATTTAAAAAAAATATATATATATTTTATTGATTTTTTTACAGAGAGGAAGGGAGAGGGAGAGCTAGAAACGTCGATGAGAGAGAAACATTGACCAGTTGCCTCTTGCACACCCCCTACCGGGGATGTGCCTGCAACCAAGGTACATGCCATTAACCAGAATCGAACCCAGGACCTTTCAGTCTGCAGACCGACGCTCTACCACTGAGCCAAACGGGTTTCGGCCCACACAAACATTTGTGTGAATGTTTTCAAATTTCCAATGTGTGGAATTGAGGCATTCATTTAATTTTTAACTTTGACATTTTATCATGTAAACCGTCACACACTGTAATCTTGAGTTCCAAGACACTGAGTATTTCTCTTCCTGAATCCAGTGTGGCTGTTCCCCACAGGTCGGCTGGGAGCTCCCTGCTCTTCCACAGGCCTCTTCCCCATCCCAGCCCGCTGCCCCGGGCTCTCCAGGGCGCAGACGGGGCTGCAGGCCCAGCAGACAGCTTCGGCTGGTTCAGCTCGGGTAGAGCTCTTGGAAAAACATCTCAAAGGAAGTACTCCACTACCACCCTTCGCAAGGCAAGGACCTCCGTGTTCCTCCCTTCATCTCACTCCCCCTCCTCCTCCGTGCTGAGCTTCACCAAGTTTACAGGAACCTTCTTTAACTGCAAAGAGCGGTCAAATAACTCGCATTTCTTTCTTGGCCCTCCTTCATGTTGTGCATCCACACCTGTTGTATTTTCTACCAGTCCTTTTTTCAAAAAATGGAGATGGAAGTAGCATCACATAAACCATTTTATGTTTCTGGTCTCCAGATACCCCTCTGGAGCCATGACATCCACGGGGACTCTTCAATGTCCCCATACTCTCCAGCCGGCTGCACAGGCCTCCCTCCCTCCCCTTCCTCACCGTCACGGTCACCCAGGCAGTGCCAGGCCTGGGCCCGGAGCTGGGGACCCAGATGAGTCTGATGTCCGGGCCTGAGCTCCACAGTAGCCAGAGGTTCCCTGGGCTCGGGGGGTCCTCCAGCCCCATCGCCAGTGCTGCTGCTCCTGTGGGGGAGGTGGTGGGGACTGGGGTCGACTCTGCCTGCCCTCCATGGAAAACATCAGAGAGGACAGGGTGAAGGGTGTCCAAGTCCCAGGACCTGCTGGTCTCAGGCCTCCTGCCAACAGGGCAAGAGCCAAATGTCAGCGCACCTGAGGGGGGGGGGGGGCGCGATGCGGATCCTCCCCATCACAAGCAGGGCCCTGACCTGCCCCGACCCCCAGGCCCACCTCTGCCAGAGGCCTGGGGACGCATGGTGGGTGTTGCAGCCAGTCTCCGAGATGGCCCATGATCTTGGCCTCTTGGTTTTCACACCTTTGTGTGGTCTCCTGTGTCAAATCAGCGGGGTGAGGAGTGTGATGGGGCGTGGGCTCTGAGGCTAGGGGAGATACATTGGCCTTGGCCCTTAAATCCTGTGCTCCGAGGGAAGCCAGGCACCACCCGGTGAAGACACTGGGGCAGTCCCACGGGGAGACGCGTGGAGCGGATCGGGGGCCTCTTGCCAACCCAGCCGTGCGAAGGAACCGCCGTGGAAGGGATCCTCCATCCCAGCCAAACCTCAGCTGCGGCCTCACGAGGGGCTGGGCCGGACTGCCCAACGCTCCCGAGTTCCCACCCACAGAAACCGTGGCGACAGACAACCATTTCAACCGTTAAGTGGGGGGCAACTTCACTCCGCAGCACCCGGTAGCTAACACACCCCTCTCCTCTGGGGGCCGTTCCCTCTCCGGTTCCTGCTTCCTCCCAGCCCCTGGCCGGCGCCCCCCGGGCCGCGGTATGGAGAAAGGGGAGAGGACTGGTGGCCCTGGATCCGAACAAAGACAGCTGTCAGCCGACATCATTGTTTTCTCCATTTTAATTAACACTTTACAAAGTACAAAATATACTGTCTTTTTTGGGGAACATTAGGTACGTTTTTCTCTCCGTCATACAGTACATGAATCCCGAGGGTTCTTTTTCCTTCAACAAAGTCAGCGTGAGGGGCTGCCCACTTCTCCCCTCACCCAGGGCCAGGTGCCACGGCTACTGCTGGTGACCTGGGCATGCCAGGGAGGGCTAGGTGCCCCAAGATGAGGCCCCAGGCAGGCGGAGGCCCTCAGAGCCCCACTGTGCATCAGCATCCACGCACCCATCTTGGGATAACGGAAATGATTTTGGCATAGAGTAACAGAGGGCTTGTCCACTGCCCCCACCCCTGTTTTGGAGCCAACCCTGCTCAGTTCTTCCTGGACCATTTTCCAAATATAAATAGGTAAACTGAGGAAACGCAATGAGCGCGGTCTCTGTCTTGGGATCTGAATTTGGCCTGTTTCTCACCTTCCCGCTCCCCTGACTCCTGGTCTCCAACGGTGCTGGTGGCCCTTCCCGAAGGACCTCACAGGCACGGGCCCAGCACCCACTGCTCCCCCTGTGAGACCGGCCTCAGGGCTCGATGCTTCTGGCCCAGGCTTTCCGGCTGGCTGTGCGGACAGAGTCCCTGCAGGGGCCACCTCTGCCCCAGCCACAGGGCAGTGCCAACAAAGCCACGTGGCCTGGGCAGCCCTGCCAGGTCTGCCTGCACCCCCTCCGCATGCGGCCACAGGTCAGAATGCTACCGAGGCCTCAAAACACCGAGTGAGGCAGCCCTTTAGCTCACGTTTGAACTCTGACCCGTGCTCTCACACACAATAATGTGTATGACACAGCAGACGCACACATCATGTGTAAGTGCAAACGTGTGGCTGTGCACAGACCAGTGTCCTGACTCACAGCCTCCCATCTCCTTGAACCAAGACCACACACTCCCTCACCACCAGGCTGCCCACGGTGCCACGGGCCAGGCCATCCCCGGTGCCATGAGCCCCAAGGACAAGCAGCTGCCTTAGCCAACAGCCCCGTCTTCACCTTCCCAACACAGCAGGCTCCACAGGAGGGTGCGAACGTGAAAGCTGAAGGACACAGCCCACCCCGTCTTCCCTCCACGACCTATAGCAAACGGCATGACAGACAATTAAGGTGTCCTTTGGCTGCCTCTAATTTGAAAATGAAAAACAAAACAAAAAAAACTAACCAAACCTGGGACGAGCTCTGAGACCCAGCTACACCAGGGCTCCACTCTGCTGGCGCCAGCCCCGGCGGCCTCCGAACGGAGGGCTCCTCGGCACGGCAGCCGGAGGCCTGAAAAGCCAGGCTTCCCATCCTCTTGCCCTAAGCCAGTGGTCGGCAAACTGGCTCATGAGCCGCGGTTTGTTGCTCTGTTGACTAATTGAGTTTGCCGACCACTGCCCTAAGCTCCTCTCAAGCTGACCACCAGTTCCATGGCTCCCCAGCCCTGACTGACAGCGGCACAGATACATTGGGGGTGTTTTCTTCCTACTCCGGAAGTGGCACTGCTCAGGGCTGGCGTGCTCTGCTGTCAACGGGAAGAGAGAACGCCAACGTCGCTCTCTTAGCTGGGCTGTGAAGGGCCCGTGTCCCACATCCGCATCCAGAGGCTCAGAGAGGCGGCCAGGTGGCCGGGGGAAACATGGCCAGGAGGGCCCAGGGTGGGCAGGCAGGCTTATCACCGATGATCAGGCAGATGGTGCTCTCGGCTTGAACACCGGCCTGGCCCCTCCCAGCTCTGACTTCCAGGGCATTCTGTCACCTCAGAGGGACAAGCCCCATCAGACTTCACTGGTCCCCGGGCTCCTTTCCTGCCCACCAGGGGCCTGGAGGGGGGAGAATGCTGGTGCTGGGGGGCTCTCAAGCCCTTGAATCTTGGGGAGGGGAGGTCTGCATGCCTCGCCAGCTTGGATGTGTACCCTGAGCTGAGGGCAGTGGCCTGGTGGCACCTCCTGCAGGGCTCTGAGACTCCCGGGGAGGAAGAAGGTGCAGAGCTGGCACCGCCCGGCTTTGCTGGGTCAGGACTGGGGCCTGAGGGGGCAGGAGTTTCCCAGGAGCCAGGGGAGCCCGGGCTGAGGATGGAGCAGAGGCAGGCTTTCACAGCTGTGTTCGAGGGAGGAGGAGTGGTCATGGTGCCCTCGCCCTCACTCTCCTCACTGTGGCGTATGGTGGGGGTGGGGTGGGCAAGGGGCGAGGGTGGCATTTAGACAGTTTGAGCTTTTCTTTCCAGGGAGAGGCACCAAAGCAGACACGGGACCTGCCTGCTCCCCCTGAGGCAGCTTTGCCCACAAGCCCAGCTTCCCTGCCTGCTGCATGCCCACCTGCCAGAGCCAAGAAACCCTCAGGGCCACCTCTATGGCCAGCCTGGGCACATGCCCCCTCTAGGGAGAGCTGGGAGGGAGGAGAGCCGGGAGGGGGGCGAGCAGCTGGCCACTGGGGGGAAATGCTCACTCCCACGCCCCAATGCTGTGGACACCGAACCAGACCCTGCTAACCACAGGCACGCACACCCGAGGACCCGCCCGCCCGGCCTCCGTGGCCTCTTCACACAGCAGGGCCGGACTGGGAAATAACGGGCGGGTTTCCGGGTGGAAGGTGGGTGCCCCACCCCCTCCCCGGCACACATCCAGGCACACACAGGGCCGTGCTCAGTTGGACAGGGCCAGCCCAGGAGGCTTCTCTCTAAGCTGCAGGTGAGACCAACCAGGTGAGCCGGCAGCATGAACGAAGCCATGCGAGGGGGTCAGGCCTGGGTGGAGACTCGGGGTGACCATCCAGCAGGCGGGCCGAGCTGGGAAGGGGGCTGTTCTGTTCACCGCCTCCCCTCTGGGCTCTACCACCTTGAAATTCAAGGGCGTCCGGGGTCTTGGCCATGGAGATGGGAGCTCAGGAAGGGGCAGAACCCAGCTTCCAAGAAAGAAGGGGGAGAAACCCTCGATGCCCCCTCTGGGGCTCAGCCCCTGGGCTGCTGGTTTTGTTTTTCTGTCAAGTCAGGGCTGAGGCAGCGGCCGGCTTCTCGCAGTCGTATTGCCTATATACTTGAATTAAAAATACACGGTGGCTCAAACGTGCCTGTGTGCATGGCAGACACGGCGGGCGGAGGCCCTCTCCCTCTCTCTCTCTCTCTCTCTCTCTCTCTCTCTCTCTCTCTCTCTCTCTCTCACACACACACACACACACACACACACACACACACGCGCACACACACAGTGGGGTCTGCGTCCACGTACCGCACACACACGCATGTGCGTGCCCACACAGTATATATTAACATATATATTGCTCAAGTATATATGCTATTTACAGTATATATCTATATCAACATAAAACACAGGTATTTATACGTGTGTACAATAGATATGCCCTAGGGACCTGGGGAGCACGCGTTTCTGGGGTCACGGGGCCTACACACTTGCTGGGGAAGGGGAAAGGTCAAGTGACGTGATTAGGGGGACGGACAGGAGGGGCTGGGAGAGGTGCGCCTCAGAAAACCAAGGCCTTCCAACGACAGAGAGGGGACTCGGGGCTTCACGTGCCGCCCTAGCCACCTGGCCACCCCCAGTTTGGAGCCAGCAAACAAGTTACACGTTTTGGTTGTTATGGAGTTTTGTGCAAAATGAATTAACTTAAGAAAAATAAAGGTAGGTTCCTACTCAGTGCATGAGCCCCGAGACCTGCCAGGATCCAGCTGCACAGCTACTGCTCCGGGGCCTCCGGGGCACGAAGGGTCCCACACAGCTCAGAGAAAGGGGTGGGGCTCGCGCAGCCCCTCACCAGACCAAGAGAACGGCCCTCCTCCTCCTCCTCCTCCTCCTCGACAGCTGCTGCCCAAGAGAGAGCGCCAGCAGGGCAGGGCACACAGGAAGCACCCCGGTGGAGAGGAGCCCGGGGCTCACCCCATCCTGCCTGCGAGGCCTCCAGGGGACACGCCTGCCTCAGCTGCCTGCCACCCGGCTGTCCGCCTCCCCGTGGCCCTCGGGTCCCGACACTCAGAACCACCGCTGCCCGGGTACCTGTCATCGGGCCCGGCGGGGCAGCACTGCGGGCGCCCGGGGCCCATCCAGTAACAGACCTCTGCTCCCAGGGTCCTGCCAGGGAGGCCCGGGCCCCGCTCTCATGCCTGTCCCTGGAGCCACGGCACCAGCCAAGTGATGCTGGGCCTCTGGCCCCCAGGCAGCTCAGCAGGCCCTGACTCTAGCAACTCAGCCTGGGCACAAATACATTAAATACGAAACTAAAACGAAGTACGTTTTCTCTATTAAGGCTCAGTTAAGCTGCCTCCCAGGTCAAGTACTCATGAATGCCAGGCCCAGGACCGAGGGGCGGGCAGGCAGGCAGGCGAGTTGGGGGCAGAGGCCTTCTATGTCCCCCAAAGCGAGGCAAGGGAGGAGACAGGACAACAAGGGAGCCTGTGCTGGTCTAGTCAACTGCTGGGGGAGGGGGGGTGACCTAAGAGACCCCAGGCCCAGAACGCTGGGAGGCCGAGGCTCCGCCCCCTGAGTAAAAGGAGGGTCCAGGGAAAGCAGAGGGGACAGGAGCTCACCCCCTGGCTGGTGGGTCTCCCAGGCTTGCGATGGGGAGGGTCTGGACAGGGCCCCCTTGGCAGTCTTGCTGGGAGTTGGGGCATAAGCCCTGTGGTTGGCAGGCGAGGTTCTGGGGGGCGCGGGTCTTCCCCAGCTCAGGGCCCCACCCCAGCTCTGCAGGAGCCTCACCAGCACGTGTCGCCAGGGCCGCCCGCTGGCCTCCACTCTGGGAACCAGCCCTGAGCTGATGGAACCAGAGACCAGCAACCACAGTACCCAGCTTGCCCCCTCCCCGGGGCCTCCCCGGCCTCCATGAACTCAGTCCTGCTCAGCCTGCTCCCCAAGATAACATGCGAATCGGTACCCCAGGGTCTTGCAGGAGGTGCCAGCTTACGTCAGCGTCTGGCCCTGGCCGTGGGCGAGGCTGGGGGAGGAGGCGGGTCAGCGCACCAGCTCCCTGGGCCTCAGACATCATTTTCTGGAGTGGGGGTGGGGGGAGCACGGGGACGGGGGGTTCTCTGGAGGCTCTGGGAAGGGAGGACATGGGGAGGCCCTGGCCTGGGCCCAGGCCTGGCGAAGTCAGCAATTGGGGCTCCTCTGAGGCCCCTCCTTGGGGGGCCCGGGGCAGGTTTTCCAGTCTGTTGAGAAATACTGCAAGAAGAACCGTCGGGCGGGGGCAGGAGGAGGAGTGAGACCCTTCTAATGCTTCTCTGCTTGGCTGACCTTCAGGGCGCTGATGACGCCGTTAATGTTCTCTTCTGGAACCTGGAAGGGCGGGGAGGCAGCGAACCCGTGAGCCCCCGGAGCCGGCCCCCCCGCCCCGGGGCCGGCGTGGACACTCACCAGTGCGTGGTCGAACTTGAAAGTACTGATGTAGTAGGCGGGGATGTCCGCAGCAGCCAAGGGCTCGGAGATCTGGGCCACGATGCCACACTCATCTGGGGACGGAGGGGGGACTGGCTCAGCCTCCACGTGGTGGCATCGTCACCCGGGGTGCCAGCCAGGGCTGCCTCTGCCCTCTCCCTCCCTCTGCCAGCAGTGCCTGTCGCACACCCACCACCTTCCCGGGGAACACCCCTTCCCCCCTGCCCCCCCCACCCCCCCGTAGGCCTAGTGCAAAGGCCCCTCCGCTGGGAGCCTTCTGTGCCCTCACCAGCAGTGAGCTCTGCACTGGCCACCCTCTGCCTGTCCCACGCCCTGTAGCCACAGTGCATCTTCCCTGCCAGCCTTCGAGGTCGCTAAGGCGGAGCTGGCGGCAGGGTAGGCCCCTTTTCTAGTCAGAGAATGTGGCCAAGTCACTTCCTTCCCGAGCCCCCGTCCTCAGCGGAGCCCCAGGGGGTGGAGGCCCTGCCCGGCCTCATGGCCATGCCAGGTGTTTGGTGGCTGGGATGTGACTTCCTATTCCCTCTAGCATCTGAAAGGGGGCGTCTGTGCTGCTTTCCTGGTCTCCCCCAAACCTCATCTGATGAAGCACCCTTGGGGTGGCCTGGGGCTGGTCTTCACCTCAGTGGCAGCTTCCTCAGATTTAAAACACCACGCAAGGCTTCCTCCTACAGGAAGACCTCCAGGATCTGAGGCCCATCCCACTCCAACACAATCCTGTGTGTTTCCTAAAAGTTGCTGTTGCAGCTTTAGTGATGATGCGTTCCCCCCACACCATCCCCACACATGTGGGCAAGGTGCTGGGGGAAGCCTAGGTCTGGCCGCCAGCTCCCATGGGATTCAGAGGCCGATTCTGAACCCGGAATTACCCCGGGTTCCACCTCGGTTGCCACTAAACCCAGCGTCGGATCTGACCCTCCACACCCTGACCCTGGCCCTGGCAGCAACCCTGGAGGTCGCTCAAGTTCCTGCTTTCCCCTTTGCTTGCCGGCCTCCTGGCGGGCCCCCAGGCCCCTTTGGTGGCTGTGCAGGTCTCGAACCTACTCTCCTGGGGACTGTCTGTGGCGCTACATGGTGGAGACTGGTGTGTCCTGAGACACCTTCTCTTCCTGTAAGAGGAGGAGGGAGGAGACGAGGGTCGAGAATGGCGCACTTTACACTGCAGGCGGTGACCTGCTGGTGACATTGATTTAGAAGCTGGGGACCAGGAAAGGCACAGCTCACGGCTGGGTGAGTTGTTTGGGTGTGTGCTGGGTTATGGTGTAAAATGTATTTATTCTCTCCAGGGCCACACACATGCAGAACCCGCCGGTCTAGCACCTGTCAGAGGCTAAGTTATTTTCCCTGCAGGACTCCTTGTAGCTGTAAGCATGGCTCTCAAACCGCTGCATCATGGGAAGGCAGATCTCGCTGCTGCCTTCTTGGCTCACCCTGGAGTCCTACAACCTCCCTTCCCCGTCGCTATCCATGGGGCCGAGCAAACAACTCCCCTTCAGCAATGGGCAGCGGTCTGCCCACAGAGATGGCTGAGCTTCACCTGCTCTCCCACCCTTACTGCTCCTTCACTGGCCTCTCGATGTGAGCAGAGTTGGGGGCACTGTCCCTCCATCTGTGAACTCATGAGAAAAGCGAGGCAGGTGGCAGAAGGCAGAACCTGGCTTCCTCAGTGAAACACCCCCCCCCCCCACGCCAGCTCCATGTTCCATCCCAGGAGAGCGCCCTCAGGCTGGCCCACTGGCCCGGGAGCAGTGTGAGTGCCATAGGAGCAGTCTGCGTCTTGTCTAGGAAATCAGGGCCTCCATACCACTGGGCTGGCCGAGGATGCTCCCTGCAAACAAGCACTCTGACTGACCAAGAGCCACGTCTGGGTGCAAGCTCTGGGTGTAACGGTCTACCCAAGGAAATAATTTCTAATCGGACAGAGCTCTGGGCCCAGGCACTGCAGTCACTCCCAGCGGGGCGCAGCCTGCACGCTGAAAGGGTGCGGGCCACGAGGGGTCTGAGGCCTGGGGCCCCGTGGACAATGCTTATGGGGAAAAACACCACAGACACGGCGCGGGGAACTGTGGAAGCTGCTGCGAGGCTGAGTCTGAGGAATCACTGCGGACACACACACACACACACACCCCCCCCCCACTCCTGGAATAGGTCGCTGGGTTCTGCAGGAGGAAGTTTCCTTCCCAGGACAGAAAAGGTCAAGAGCTGGGATGTGAAATGGTCCGTGAACACTTCCCTCCAGAGGCCTGCACCTCCCTCCCTCACCGGTCAGTGGGGCCTCAGGCTCCCCAAGCTTCCGTCTCCCCATCTGTCCCCCAGGGCACAGGTCGGCTGTGACTCCGGGGGGTGTGAGTGCCCCAGCGCTTGGAGAGACTCGGCAATGCCTCACCCCCAAGTCCCCCCTCCACTGAAGCCCACAGGGCTCACCGAATCCCAGGGGCTGGCCTCCGATCCGCACCATCTTCCAGAGCTCTCCAGATGCGCTTGTGAACAGCAAGTTACTAGGAAACCTTAAAGGAGCGAGGAAAACCGGAGGCTGATGTTCAGGCGCTCCCTGCACAGGGCCCCACCTGCCACAGGCTGGGCCCCAGGACCCCGCCGAGCCCTCCATCCACTCTCTCTGCACCCCCTCGCCTGGGAGTGTGTGGGGGGGAACAGGAAGGCAAGGTTGGCATTGGCTGTGCAACAGCTGCTTCTCCCCAGCTCCACAGAGGGGACTAAGGGGCAAATGGTAGTTGATTGACCCAGGGCCCTCTGAGTGGTCTGCCATCTTGGAGACGGGCCGCCCACCTGCAGTGAAGGGCCGCGGTGCGAACTATTGGGGACAAAGGGGGTGATGTGCCCACAAGGAGCCCGGCCCGCCCTGGTCCCCCCGTGGCCGGCTCACCTCTGCTGGGTCTGCACGTCCATCACCAGGGAGATGTAGCCCTCGATGAGGGAGAAGGAGAAGAAGCGGATGTGGCCACAGTCGTCACTGGCAGCCATGGGGTCCTTCATGCTGGGGGCGGGGGTGCTGGTGAGGGTGGAGTGGGGGCCACTGCACGCCGACCCCTGCCTGTCCTGCCCGCTAGCCTCAGCATGGGGTGCTGGGAAGAGCACTGGCCTGGAGAGCCCCTACCCGGCCTGGCTGAGTAACCCTGAGCCAGCGTCCCCGCAGGGCTCTGCGATGCACACGATTCCCCTGGTCGTGGAGGTGAGTAGGGCATGTCAGGGCCGGAGCTCAGCGGGCCGCCTGGACAGGCTGCACAGGCCCCTTCCCGGCAGGGTTCTCTGTTCTGTGTTGGCCCACACCTCAGGGCACGGTCTGTGGTCACTGCCAGCTCACTGGAACCTGCACCCACCCACCTGGTGTTGGCCTAAAGGTAAAACCGACTGAGGCCAGCTCAAAACCTGCCGTCCTCCGAATGAAAATCCCTGCGTTCGAAGCTCGGGGAGTGAGCCTGACTGAGGAGCTCAGGGGGTGGGGTTAGTTAGCATCTTCCTGCGCACTGGCTTCACCAAGGTCCAACATTCCCAAAGGAGGTCCGGCCGGTGCTGCTCAGTGGTTGAACCTATGAACCAGGAGGCCATGGTTCGATTCCTGGACAGGCACGTGCTCCAGATGTGAGCTCCATCCCCAGTCAGGAGTGTGCAGGAGGCAGCCGATCCATGATTCTCTCTAATCTCTCTCTCCCCCATCCTCTCTGAAATCAATAATTAAAAAAAAAAAAAAGATTCTCAAGGAAGAGTCTCTCTTCTCAGATCGAGCTTTGGGTAGAGCCATGTCTCCCCACCACCGACCCCAGACAAGTGTCCAGGGCAGCTCTGTTCCTCCTCCCTCAGACTAGCTCCCAGGGCAGGCCTGCCTCCTCCCTCAGACTAGCTCCCAGGGCAGGCCTGTCTCCCCTGAGGCTGGGGCTCCCTGGCACAGCCACCTTTCCTCCTGGCCCACCCTGCAGCCCCTCAGACCCAAGGAGACCTACCCGTTGGAGTAGAACATGACGTCCATGAGGAGTGTGGCAACAGCAGGCAGCGTGTCGGGGTCCAGGCTGGTGACACAGAAGCTGTTGCTGGGGCTGGACAGTGGGTGGATGACGGGCCTCTGGACTGTGAGTGTGAAGATAAAGGTGCCACGGCGGTAAGAGGAGCAGCAGGGCAGGTGGAGGCAGGCGGGGTTTGCCGCAGACGCTCTGGGGGGCCTGGCTCCAGGCCCCGTGAGCCCTGGCTGTCATTTCTTTGGCCTCCACCACCACCTACGGCTCTTCTGCTAGTCCAGGCTCACCCAGCCCGGGCCCCTGCACAGGCTGTACCTATCACCTGCCTGGAATGCCTTACCAGCCTTCACCACCTGGTGAGCTCCTACTTGTGTCTGAGCTTCAGCTCGACAGCGGCTGCCCCTGGAAGGTCTGCCTGACACCGAGGGCCAGGCTGGGAGTGGCCCCTGGCCATTGCCGGCTGTGCCCACATCCACCACCCTTACTAGACCTCAGGCACAGGGTCTGACCAGGACGGCTGAACTGTGTTCTGCCTGGAGCTCGGCTGATGCCCTGAGAATGGGCTGCTCTGGGGCAGCACCTGGTAACTTTTATTTTAAATGGAATTTCTTGGAGTGACATTGGTTAACAAAATTACATAGGTTTAGGAATACAATGCTATAACACATCATCTGTATACGGCATCATGCATTTAACACCTGAAGCCCAGTCTCCTCCTGTCACCATCTGTCCCCTCTGACCTTCTACCTCCCTCCACCCTCTGGCAATCTCTGTCCTATTGCCTATGTCTGTTTTTCTTAATCCCTCCACCTTTTTCACCCGGCCCCAGCCTTCCTCCCTCCAGCTCACCCATCTTGGGCTTCACAAAGCCATTGGTGATGCCAAGATTCTCGGCGGCCACCGTCTCACCATTGACGACCCGCAGGATGGTGAACTCTGACGACAAGGTGTGGGTGACAAAGGGCAGGTCCCGCTCACGTACCTGGGACAGGGAGGTGAGGACATGGAGTGGGCCTGGGGGCAGTGACCCCCCCACCTCCACCCCTCTCCGAGATTCTGCCCCAGAACCAGCTTCCCGTCCTTGCCTCCTGAGGCCCTGGTGGGGGCTGGGAGCCTGGGACCAGGGCACGCCTCTCCAGGGCAGCAGGAAGGACGCAGAGGGGAGAAGACACGACACCGAGGGCCGTGAGGTGCAAGTCTGTCCCCCGCACCCCACCCTCGTGAATGCTGCGCCCAGACCTGTCCCTGCCCCTCCCCAGGCCCATGCTCTTGAGAGTGGCCATGGCCCATGGGAGGAGAAAGAATGACTTGGTGGCCAGGGGCTGCTGCTGGCCCCAGGACCAGACAGACTTGCCATCCGAGGGGGTGGGGGGAGGGGAAATGGGGAGACAGATGTCCAGCTGGGACGATACTCCACCCACACGAGCTCCCCAAACCTTACTTCCTGGCTTCCAGATCAAGCCAAGTACGGCCCCCACAAAAGGCAGGTGGAGGAGGCAGGGGGCAGAGACCAGCCTGGGCCAGGCTAACATGTGGCTGACGACCCTAAGGTCCCCCTGGCCTCTCTCTGAGCTGATCAGAGAACGGGGAGCACAGAACAGTGCCGATAGCTGCGGTTACCAGGATGAAGTCCGTCTGGTAGGTGGACAGCATGAACACGGAGATGTTCTGGTCGGCCAGGGGGGCGATGACCGACTTGGCGATCTTGGTCACCCCGATGGGCTGGGAGCTGGAAAAGCTGCCGCCACCGGACACGACATTGAGGGCCAGCCAGGTGGCATCTGCCACACTCAGGTGCTCCGAGGAAGGCAGCTCTGGAGGGAGACACGAAAGACAGGCCTGTGACTGGTGGGTCCCAGGTCCCCAGAGCAGAGCAGGCCACAGAGTAGAGCCTGGCACGTGGGACCAGCTGTGTGGCCTTGGCCAGCCCCACCCTCGGAGTCCGAGTGCCCTCATCCGTCAGAGGCGGTGGGACCGGCCTCAAAGGCTCTGCTGTGGGAGGACCGAGCCAGGAAGCCCTCGGAGGACTCTGGATGCGTCAGGCAGCTCAGGAGGGTGGGAACTACGGGGACATGTGGGTTTATCTGTGTTGGGCCTCCGTTTCCTCAACTGTGAAATAGTGAGTATTTAGCAGTCAGCAATGATTTTGTTATTTTCAGTCCTCAGTCCCCTCTGGGTGGCAGGTGCTGCCACCACCACCTCACACCAGTGGAATGGGTCCCCTGGTTTTCAAACTGGGTTCCTCGGAACCTCCGGGAGGCTGGGGTTGGAGGGGAGCCAGGAGAAGGCAGGATGGGGGCCCTGGGTTTCCTCCTTGCTTCAAGCAGACCTGCCTGCTGGGCTTCTCTGCAAGAACGCCCAGCTCCAGGGGGCCTCCTGAGGGTGCCACTGTCAGGTGGGCAGTGACAGTCATCCAGTCCCTCCAGAGCCCTGGGGGGTAGCACGGGCAGGGGCAGCATGGAGGAGGCTGAGTGACAGCAAAGAGCGAGTCTCCCTGACCAGCTCGTAAATCCTGGACTCCACACATGTGGACCTCCCTTTCCCCACTCCTGCAGAGCCCCCGGAGGAGCCTGCACACGGGATGTGGGCACACGTGTCTCCAGGAACACACAGCCACGGAGCTGACCCTATAGGCTGGCACAGGACTTTCCAGGTATCAGACTCCTGCTCAAACCACCCCCCTCAGGGACTGCTATTCCCCCTGTAAACACCACAACCAGAGCTCTGAGAGGCGGTGATTTCACGGTCACGTATGGAAGGACAGGGCCAGGACCTCAGGAAGGAGAGGGGCCCAGACCCCGGAGATGAGGATGGCGATAACGAGGGAAGGCTGCACGGGCCTCAGGCAGGACGGCTTCCGAGGAGGGGAAATTGAGTGAGGCCCCACCATGCTCCTACCTGCCCAGCTCTGGTCGTCATGGCGACCACAGCCCAGCGAGCCCATGGGTCATGTGGGCTGAGAAGGGCCCGTCTGTGGCCAGGCTGGCTGGAGAGGCAGGCAGCTTCCCAGGAGAGGGAAAAGGTTTGGGAGGAAGAGCAGGAGAAAATGTCATAAAAGGGGCTAGGTCTCAGGGAGCCATGTCTGGTCTCTCTCCCCATCACCCAAGGGGTCAGGAGAGAGACCTCTGGGCCCAGGACCGAGAGCAGACGTGCTCCCAGAACTGGAGCCAGCTCAGACCTGAACTGCGAACCCCTTCGCTCTGGCTCTCAGCCCTGGACAGGAGCCCTGAGGTCTCCAACGGCAGCCGTGGTCACCGCGGAGGCTCCCTGACGCGGGGGCTTGGTCAGGGGCTGGGAACCACAGCGTTCACTGCCTCTGGCCCCACGGCCATCGGACAATGCCCTGGCATTCTGGGGGAGAGGGAGGGGCTGAGCGGGCCCCCTGCTCACCCCGGCCAAGCCTCGGGGCTCCCATGAGCTGCCAGGAGGCGGCACACTGGCTCTTCCCTAGAGGAAAGGTGGACCCCTGCTAAGACTGAGATGGATTATCTGTCAGTGCCATCGTCCCAGACCCTAAATATAGCTTCTCGGAGCTGAGGACACGCCCTGGTAGAGGAGGCCGCAGTGCCTTGCCACCCTCCGGGTCACGAAGGTGGGCGACGCTGTTGCTGGGTGGGACTCCCTCCTCCTCAGGAACCTCCCATCCCCTCACCCCCGTTTTGGCCGAAGGACCTGCAGGTCCCTGCGATGTCCTCCGCACAGAGCCAGTTTCTCAGGCTCCTCCTGCCCGCCCGCCCGCAGCAGGGTGGTCCTGGCGAGGGCAGGCGGGCTGGTCCTGGCTGTGTGACCTTGGGCCCTGGGCTTTTGTTTTCCAATGTGGGATGATGAAACCAGGAGCAGCCTGAGAAGGCGCTGGGAGGATTAAATAAGATAATCCGCCCAAGTGCTCAGGAGTGCCTGGCACCCATCTGAGTGCTCATCAAAGGCCAGAGACTTCTGATTACACTGCTGGTGTTCTGCTGGTTCTGGATGGCAGCTGGGTCAAGGCTATCGAGTTTAAAAAATGCTCAATTTCACTGTAAAGGAGTAAGCTGACCGTTGAACAATACGGGTTTGAACTATGCGGGTCTACTCGTATGCCTTACAGCACTGAGCAGGGGAGAGACGATGCGAGGCCATGGAAGCCCCAGGGCACTGAGCAACTTGCCCAGAATGATAAGCAGTGAGTAGCAGGGCTAGATCCCAGCCTGATCTGCTCATCTTAGTCCAGGATGAAGCCAGGAGTTACCGCTCAGCATCTTCCTTCTCCCTTTTGGCTAGTCACGGCCAAGGAGCATGTCCTGCCCCAGTGTGTTACAGATACCCCTGACGCAGGTAAGGGGCCTATGATTGGGGGTCGGGGGGGGATCCTGATTAGCACTGCACCCTGCTAAATTGCACATCTAGGAGGTCAGGGCAGGGGATGCCGTGCATATTTTTTGGGTCCTCACGAGCATTAGCAATCGCACACAGTAAGTGCTCATTAAAGATCAAACGACACACATGCACACAAGTCCCTCTGGTTTGCCATGCAGACACACAGCACCCATCTGAGCCAAGAGCCTCTAAAATTCCACATGAAACGGGAAGCTGCCTGGTTAATGTCACTGACAACTGTCTCACCCTTCCAGGCAGGGCGCAGCATTTGATGCACATGTGAACTGCAGAGAGCTGCTGGCTCCACACCGAGAAAGCGCCACACTGACGGCACTGCCAGCGGACCACAATCAAGGCACGCTGGCAAAGGGAGGCCCTTGGGTGAGAAGCAGTGCTTGCAGAACTGGGGGCTGGGGCCCCATCTTCCACACGGCATGGCACAACCAGCACCCCTCCCCACCCCACAGGGGCAGCCAAAGCCCAAGTTCCCTTTCTGAAAAGGGGCCTCTTAAAAGAACCACGGCCCAGAGCTGAGGCGAGAGGGTGAGCTTGGCAGCCTCCACCCCTAATCCTCGCCTCTGAGGGCCTTCTTACCCTGCCCTGGCCACACCATGGCCCATCCCCCCTCTCAGCTGCCCCTGTCCTTGGTCTGCTGTGATTCAACGCAGCACTTCCTGCTTCCAATGGGCCCCCGTCACTCAGGACGGGGCACCTGAATGTCAGTTTTCCCTCTTATAAAACGGGTTACCCTCAGGCCACCGGGGGTACAGGGGAGTCTTACAGTGTATCCTGGCCCTGTAGCTCTGCGACGGGAGTATGAGATACGTACTTCTGTAAATGCCCATCGTTTTTCCTGGGGCAGTAACGGCTGTCTAAGCAGCCTGCTTTGCGAGCCTGGAAGGGAGACCCTTACCCAGAAGTCACAGAGCCCCGGGGCTCCTGGGGTGGGAGATGGTGCCTCTCAATTCCAGCTCCATCTCCAGGGCCAAGCAAGATGCCGGCACCCCCAGTAAATACAGCCTCCTGCAGCCCTGGAGGCTGCCTCAGCCAGCCAGCCACTTCTCTGCAGGGCATCTCCCTGCTCAGTGACAAACCTGCAAACATGGCCTTCCAGGCCTGCACAACCGGCTTGCCAGGCCCCACAGCCTCCCTCTCCCTCGCTCAGCCTCCTTCTCCCTAGCTCGTGGTGTCTGCTCATTTGCTGCCTCAAGAGGCAGACGTCAGTCTTGTCTGAGGAGGAGGATTAGATAGGGTATCTATCACCAGAGAACAGATACTCCGGAGCGATCAGACGCCACCCTTCTCAGCAGTTCTGCATTAAGGGCATGATGAGTGCCCATAAGAAAATGGTAACGTGCTCGGGTTGCCCAAGCATCCAGTGTCCGCCTGTCCGTGGCTCCTGTACTCAGACAACGTCTGCTGAATGAGTGAGTGAGTGACTCCATGGGTGCCTTTGATGACGAGGCAGGGCCTCCTGTGGGGCCTGCCCTACCGCTGCCCTGGCCACGAGATGCCCCCTGAGCCGGGAAGGCCATGGTGTCCCTGAGATGGGGCGGGGCTCTCCCACACTGGAAGGTGCTCTGGGGCACCTGCGGGTAGGATGACAGAGCCCAGCGGGGAGGTCGCTTCCCTGGGCTGACAACAGGAGAACCGGAAAATGACCATCTGCCACTTCTCAGACCCCATTTTAGGAAACTCCCTGCATTAGGACAAACGTTACACATTTAAAGCGTCTATCATTTTATCACTGGAGAAAAATTACAGTGAGTTTAAATCTAACCTTAGGAGTCTGGGAAGGACGCGCGGCTGCTGTGAAAGGCTGTGACGGCACAGGAAGTGTTAGGGCGTATTGTGAGGTAAATGTTAAGTGAAAGCACTTCTCTATACAGCATGGCCATAAAGAAATTAAAAAGAGAACGTGCACAGGAAAACGCTGGACAGGAAATACCAAAAAGTCACTAGTTGTCTTTGGGGTGGGACTGTTTCTATATATACATCTCCCTCTCTCTCTCTCTCTCTCTCTCTCTCGTCTAGTAATAATTAATGTCGTTTTTAAACATTCGTTTAAAATCTTGCTTGGCGTTGCCTTGTATTGACATAACCTTCAAACACGTGGTATCTACAGAATGTGTGAAGTGCAATTAACAAGTTTTGCTTGAAAAAGTTTGTGTTTGGTTTGGTTTTTGTTGCAAAACTAGGGCTAAGATGATGGCGGATGAAGAGCATATTCGGCACTGCATGCTTTACGAGTTCCAATTAGGAAGAAAAGCAAGTGAGGCTGCAAAAAACATCTGTAGTGCTCTTGGTCAAGATGCAGTTAGCGCCAGAAAATGCCAGCGTTGGTTTGAGAAATTTCGCGAGGGAAATTTTTCGTTAGATGACAAGAGTGGTTGAGGCCGTGTGTCCAATTTTGATCAAGAAGCTCTTCAAGCTCTTTTGGTGCAAAATCCTCAAATTACCCAACAAGAGCTTGCGACAACTTTAAATTGTTCACAAAAAACAATTTCCAATCAATTGCGTGCACTTGGCTAAGTCCAAAAGTTTGGAAAATGGGTTCCTCATGAGTTGACCGACAACAACCGTAATCAAAGAGTCACAATTTGCAGTTCGCTCCTCTCTCGTCAAAACCGTTTGCCGTTTTTAGAGCAAATTGTTACCGGAGATGAAAAATGGGTGCTGTATGTTAATTTGAAAAGGCGGCCTCAATGGTTGGACAAAAATGAGGCTCCGCAGCCCACGCCAAAACCTGACTTGCATGCAAAAAAAGTGATGTTGTGTGTTTGGTGGAATTTTAAAGGAATTCTTCATTATGAACTTTTACCATCTAACCAAACCATTACAAGTGCAGTGTATAGTGCCCAATTGGAAAGGTTAGCCCAAGCTTCAAGAGAAAAAGAACCCGCGCTGATTAATCGGAAGGGCGTAATTCTTCACCACGATAACGCACGACCACATACTGCAAGAATCACTGCTGAAAAACTGCGCCAGTTGGAATGGGAAGTTCTCCCTCAACCTGCATATTCTCCTGATATTGCCCCTTCCGATTACCATTTGTTTCGTTCTTTGCAAAACTTCTTCTTGGAAAAAAATTTAATAACGAAGAATGCCTCAAAAATGCATTGACCGAATTTTTTGCATCAAAATCAAAAGAATTTTACAACAGAGGGATTAAAATGCTTCCTGAGCGTTGGGCACAAGTAGTAGAAAACAACGGCAACTATATTGTTGATTAAATTTTGTTGTATTGTTTAAATAAATTCGATTTAAAAAAGTATTAGAAAACGACATTATTACTAGACCTTATATATATATATATATATATATATATATATATATATATATATATAATATATTGTATATATATATGTGTGTGTGTGTGTGTGTGTGTGTATACTATAGATTTCAGAGAGGAAGGGAGAGGGAGAGAGAGAGAAACATCAATGACAAAAGAGAATCATTGATTGGTTGCCTCCTGCATGTCCCCTACTGGGTGAGGATCAATCCTGCAACTCAGGCATGTGTCCCTGACCAGAATCAAACCCGGGACTCTTCAGTCCGTAGGCCGACGAGCCATACCGACTAGGACAGGGTGGGACTGTTTCTTAAAATGTGGGACTTGTGTCCTCTGCATGCTTTGAAGGACGTGGTTCGACACCAACCCTGGGGAAGCCTGGGCACTGACATCCCCCTTCTGCACCCAGCTCCTCAGGCACCCCCCCTGCAAACTAGCGTGCATCGCGCAGCACGAGGACAAACGTAAAACACTGTAATAACAAAACTGCCAGGATGTGGGGCGAGGGGAGAATGACTGCTGACAGGGAATGGGGTTTCTGTTGGGGGTGGTGAAAATGTTCTGGCATCGGGGTGGCCATGGCTGCACGTTTTACCATGGTGACTTTTATGGCAGGGGCACGGCATCTCAATTTAACACGTGGAAAAAGGTGAAGGAAAATCACCAAGGATGGAACCTGGGGCTCCCGCCAATGAGGAAAGGATCGAGAACAATGAAAGCACCTCACTCACAGGAGATGCTCAGTGAAATGCGTGTCCTCCTCCTTGGTGCTTTGGTTCTCGGCGGGGGAGGCACGGTGTCCCGGACAGAGGGGGAGGGGCCACTAGCAAGGAGACTGGGAGAGAGAGGGGAAGACTCCACGGGGTGGGGTGGGGGCAGAAATAAGGAGGCGGGCAGCCAGCCTCGACGGCGGGGCACAGTCTGCCATATCCCTGGTGGGAGAAGCACTCACCCAGGAAGCCCTCCTCATCGACGATGATGGTGTAATCCTCCGGGGTCTCGGTCAGACTGAAGAACTTGCACCTGTGTGGACGGACAGACAGACAGACACGGGATGTCACATTAGCTCTGCATTGGCCCCTGCGGGACACTGTGGTGACCCAGCAGATGAATCGGTTTACCCAGAGCTCTGACTGCAGGCTGCTGGTGACCTCCAGTAAGCTGTACCTCTCACACCCCCTCCCCCCACTCCCCGTCCTGACTCAGGAGGTCTCAGAGAGGCCTCGAGATGGTGATCGTCCCCTCTGCACCTCGAGTCGGCCAGCCTCTGGGATCCTGTATAGGCCCAGGGGGGTCTCAGATCCACTTTTTCAGGGAGGAAGTGGCTGAAGGGTAGGCCTGGCCGGGGCCATGCAAATGAACTGTCTTATCCAGGGGCCCCAATTCCGACCCCTAGGCCTCTGTCCTGGCCCCTCCTCACCAATAGGGGAGCTCCCACCGTCATTAGGTCCTAATTCCCACCACCCAGAGGACAGCCCGCCTTTGGGCTGCTTTTCTTCTCTGCATGGGAGGGGCGTGGACATCCGTGCTGGGTGTGGGACACAGATCTCTGAACTGCCACATGGGGGACTACTCCTTAGCCTAGGGTGTATGATGCTTGTTTCCCCAACACCCCCCCCCCCCCCCCACACACAAAGACTATCCATTTCCCGAGGCCAGGCAGGGACTGGTCATTACTCTGCCCCTTTACCTCGGCCCTGCCGTCTGGCCCTAAGCACGCTCTTGGTGCCTGGCAGGCAGGCTGGGCTCTGAGTCCAGGCTTTCGGTCACGGGGTAACGGGGTCCCCACCCTTCAATGCCTGTCTCTTCCCCCCTCGGCCAGAACAGCCCCGGAACGGCAGCTGCGGGGAGAGACGGGGTGCACAGGCGGCGGCACGCAGGAAGCGCAGTCACTTATCTGGCATCGCTGCTCTGGAGCGTGAGGCCCAGCACGGGCTCCATGCCCGGCGCGTAAAACCATCCATCACGGGGGCCGTGACAGCAAGAGGCCCAGCGCGTAGCCCCAGCCCCGGCCGGACGGCACTCCCGCAGACCGAATGGGAACGGAGTCTGGAAGGGGGCGCGCAGCGTCTACCGCTGCTCTCTCCTCCCCCCCCCCCCCCCCCCCCCCCCCCGCCAGCCGCCCGGGACCACGTGGAAGGCCGGCCACAGAACCCGGCGGCACCTTCCACTCTGCCCTCTCCATTTTCCCCAAGGAGCGAGAGCACCTGGAACCCGAAGGAATGCAGAACGATATTGCCGTTTGGGAAACGGTTTGGAAGTTTCTTACGAAGTTGAACGGACACCGACCATACGACCCGGCAACCCCACCCCTGGGTGCGGATGCCAGAGGAAGAAAACCTATGCGCACACGCAGACCTGACTGCCGAGGCCTGCAGCCTGAGTGTGATCGCCCCATGGGGAGACAGCCCGAGTCCTCCCCTCAGCGGGAGCCCTGGCGGAGCGAGGGAGGCTCGCCCGCACCGCCCGCACCGCGGGGTCCTGGTCCGCAATGAGGGGGAGCGAGTTCCTGACGCACGCTGTGACGTGGACGACGCTCAAAGGCACTTTGCTAGGTTCAACCCGGACCCCAAAGGTTGCAATACTTTCGATCCCATTTACGTGACTTCTGGAAGGGGCAAAACTGTAAGGTCCGGGAGCTGGGGCCGGCAGAGAGTGGGCCGGGGCTGACGCTGGAGGGGAGCCCAGGAACTCTTGGGGCGGTGGCGGGGGCTGGGATCTTGATTGTGGTTGTGGCCATGGGTACATAGTACACATTTGGCGAAATTCAAAGAACTGTACCCTGAAGGGCGAATTTTACTGGGTGTAAATTACACCCCGGTGAGCCTGACTTTGAAGGAAGAGCCTGTGCCAGCACTGTAAACAGGGTGGCACTTATTCCCCTGCTCCGACCGACCAACCGACAGCACACTCTCTTCCACTTCCCTCCAGCGCTTTGGTTTGCAAATGACATCTCTGTCCCTGCCTGTCCACATCCAATTTGCCACTGCTGCCTGGACAAATGAAATCTGTAATTGCGCGGGACAACGGCAAATTATCACCTTAGTGAGTGGCAATCACTGGTCTGGCCCAGCTCCTTCTCGGGGACTCCTGTGCACTCTGAGAGAACCTTGAAGTCTGCCGCCCCCCCCCCACCGCGCCCCCATCGCTGGCCTGCCACAAGCAGGTACTTGCTGGGTGGGGGTGTGGCCTGTGAAGGCTAACAGATGTGGCATTTGCTCCCAATGCCCTCTGGGCTGTGAGGGACGTTCCAGAAATAGACCACATAAATCATCCTGGAGGCACAGGCACCAGCAGAAGGCAGCATCGGCCTCTGTGTAAACGGGGTATGAGTATGTCGAGGTGGCTGTCTCACCCTTCAAGACCCAGTTAAAGGGTCTTCTTCTTCTTTTTAAAATTTAAATATATTTTATTGATTTTTACAGAGAGGAAGGAAAAGGGATAGATGAGAGAGAAACATCGACCAGCTGCCTCTTGCACACCCCTACTGGGGATGTGCCCGCAGCCAAGGTACATGTCCTTGACCAGAATTGAACCCGGGACCCTTCAGTCCGCAGGCCGACGCTCTATCCACTGAGCCACACCGGTTTCAGCTAAAGGATCTTCTTTTATGACCGGCACCAGCCCCCTCCTCTCCCTCATCTCCCACCAAACGGGCGGGTCCTCCCTCGATGGCCTACGTCCTTACACCGTCCACAGAGGGACGTAAGGCCGCTGAGGGCTGTTCGTGCCTCACAGCTCCAGGAGAGAGTTCGCTCACCTCACCGTGTACCTGACGTTGCCCTCAGACCAGGGCAGTGCTAACGAGAGCAACTGTGCATGATGAGAACTTGCCACAACCCGTTACGAATACTTGTCTCCCCAGCAGACCATACCCTCTCACAGGCAAGGGCTGGAGGCTCTGCACACACACCTGGCTGGGCACGGACCCAACGCTCACTGTCTGATGAGCAAAGGAGTGGACTGCAGCCACGTACCTCCCGCCAAGGCCGGAGCAGCTCTAATCGGAACAGGCCCTACGTGCCCTGGCACGGCACTGCCCTGGCGTGGCACTGCCCTTGTGTACCCTCCACCGAGAAACACTGACGTCTCTAGTCCCCGCTCCGCTCTCCGGTGAGTCGTGGCTAAATCCACACCACAGACGCCAGGCCCCGCTGTTTGTGGCCGCTCTGCACTTGGTCTACGAGGAGCTGGAAAGAGGACCCAAGCCCAGCAGCCAGCCAGTCTACGAGGAAACCTGAGGAGGAGGAGGAGGCGGAGGAGATCTGCTTGCCCTCTGGATGCCCTCGTGGTACTCAGGAACAGGATGAAATGACAGGAGAGAGCAGCCTGGGAGCGCGGGAAGAGGACCGCGGGCCTGGAGTCTAGGGCCTGGGCCCCAGTCCCAGCCTGGCCCCAGTGGTGAGCCCTGGGCTGCCTCATCCCTTTACAACGAGGGCAGCTTCAGGGTGGGCTAGTTCCCACGCAGTTCCGGCCTGGGCAGTGCCCGGGCCACCTGGAGCCCTGCCCGCTCCATAGCATGGTAGACCAACAAGGCACACAGAGCCGTGGAGTGCCCGGAAAAGCCCCAATCAGAACCTAAGATGGATCTACCTGCTGCCCAGGGAGCTGGCGGTGGTGTCCCAGCTCGGGGCGCGGGCTCACCACCTCAGTCTGTGGGAGGAGTGCCGCAGAACTGAGTACACAGCCGAAACCGGTTTGGCTCAGTGGATAGAGCGTCGGCCCGCGGACTGAAAGGTCCCGGGTTCAATTCCGGTCAAGGGCATGTGCCTTGGTTGCGGGCACATCCCAGTGGGGGGTGTGCAAGAGGCAGCTGATCAATGTCTCTAGCTTTCTATCCCTCCCTCTTCCTCTCTATAAAAACTCAATAAAATACATATATAAAAAAAAAAAGACCTGAGTACACAACCCATGCAACTGAGTGCCATGGTGACTGGGCAGGTCCTGCAGGAGCACTCGGGTAGATGGGATACGGAACTCTGAGCTCTCACCAATGGAGGAGGGAGACTGGGGACAGCAGCTCTGGGTGAGCCCTGGTTGGGACACACCCCAACAATCACGCAAGTCCCATCCAGGGGGTGAACAGAGCACGGGGACTGGATGAGGGCAGGCCACAGCAGGAGCCATGTCTGTCCAGAGCCTCATGGCCAACACGGAGCATGTCCATAGGAGCTGAGGGGACCCTGGGCTGCACCCCTTTGGCCTGGGGAAGACTCCAGCCACCGCCTTTAAGTCTCCGTGGTTATTTATTTATTTTTTAAAATATATTTTATTGATTTTTTACAGAGAGGAAGGGAGAGGGATAGAGAGCTAGAAACGCCAAACGTCTGGGGAAGACTCCAGCCACCGCCTTTAAGTCTCCGTGGTTATTTTTTAAAAAAATATATATTTTATTGATTTTTTACAGAGAGGAAGGGAGAGGGATAGAGAGCTAGACACATCGACCAGTTGCCTCCTGCACACCCCCTACCGAGGATGTGCCCGCAACCCATGTACAGTACATGCCTTTGACCGGAATCAAACCTGGGACCTTTCAGTCCGCAGACTGACGCTCTATCCACTGAGCCAAACCGGTTTTGGCGAGTCTCCGTGGTTATTGTGGGCCACAGGTTGTAAGCCACGTGACTGCTCATGGCTGTGTGACTTTAGGCCAGTCCCTCCTGGTACCGTGTTCTCACGTGATGTTGTTGAAGAAGAAATGTTGAACACCCCTGGTAAGCGCTCAATATGCTGGCTACTGGCGGGCAGACAGAGCTAAAGGGGAGGCATTGGGGAGGCCAGCTGTGTTCTGAGTAAAAAAAGCTCTACAGCCAGCTGACTAAGGAGACCAATGGGCTGGCCTGAGACACAGTGTGTTGCCAGTTCTCTGAAGGTACCGCTGCCTCGAGGGGGAGGACGGGTCAAGCTGAGTCTCTGATTCTTGGAAACACCTGGTTCCCACACACTGAGCCCAAGAAAAGCTTGGCTTGAAAAGTCTCCATTCACCTTCCCAATAGCTCAGTTCCCACCAGGCAGGCAGGGAA